ATGTATTTGATATTGTGGTGTTTTTTCATTGTTGCTATTTTTTGTTGTAGTTTTGCCGTTTCGATGTTGTTGTTTATATTTTCGTTGTTGATGCTGCTGACAGCAGCTGTCACAACAACAAAATAAACAATTATTTTCAAATCCAAGTTTGAGGGTATGGGCTTTAGAAGGTGTGGTTTTGTAGCAGTGTGTTGATGTATGTTGATCTGATGGTGCTGTTATTTTGGTACTATGTGTGCGTTATGTAGGTCGTTGTGTTTGTGTGTTTGTGTTGGTGTGTTTTTGTGTTTGTGTTGGTGTTTCTGTGTGTCGGTGTGTTGTGTGGTTGTGTTGGTATGTTTGCATGTTTGTGTGTCGTGTGTTGGTGGGATATGTGTATGCAGTTGAATGCTCTGACGATTACACGTCAAAACCGATGTGCTGGTGATGGGATCTTGTGAGATGTTTCTACGTAAAATCTGCTATTTTTGATGTTGTTCCTTCTGAAAACTATTTGCAATGGCTGAATGTTGGTGTCATTGAATATTTGTTAATTGTTGTTTTTGCAAGGTTTTAGAAGGAGAAAAAATAAGTTGGTTTGTGCATTGTATTCTTATTGATGACTTCTTGTTCGAGGGTTTGTTGTTTCGTTAATTTTATCCAGTTTTGTTTTTGCGATGTTTTGTTGTTGCGATGTTGTGTTGTTGCGATGCTGTGTTGTTGTGACGTTATGTTGTTGTGTTGTTGCTATGTTGAGATGTTGCTATGTTGTGTTGTCTTGATTTTTAAATTCGATGGAGCACCAGCATCTCTGTAGTGACCAGCTTGGCTATGTTAACAATAACATGCAAAATCCGATACATATTTTTATTGTCCAAAGTTTTGATTCGCGGATTAACGTTTAATGAATTTAAAAAAATTACGCTATGGACCGTGCGCGCTGCTATGCGAAAGTCTCGCTCCTGAGACGTGCTGTCTACAAGGATTTTATACTCTCATTGTGGTTTGCAGTGTTGTGTGCGGTGTGTTGGCTTATTTCAGCGTTGTTGTGTAAGGTTAATTGTGTGAAGGTGAACAGACGGTGCGAGAAGAGGTGTTGCTAGCCAGTGCTGTTTATTTTCTCACGTCAATATTAATAACACGTCACGTTTTGTCAATGCTTGTCTGCGTCTGTGTGTGTGTGTGCGTCCATCTGTTAATCTTTTTTCTGTCTGTATAATTATGTTTTTTCTATGTATTTATTTATCGGTTTATCTGTTTGTCTGTTTATATGTCTGCCTGTCTGTCGGCCAGTCTTAAATGTGTAGGTTGTTCACAGTTAGGCAGATGGATTGTTGTGACGAATGTTAGGACTGAGGTGTGTCTACGTTCCTGCTAAATATATATTTTAATTAACATTATCTATCTATTAGTTCATCAACATTGTTGTCTGCATTAGGTGAGATCGTTTGTTACGCTGCTTTCGGTTAATTCTCAGTGGGAAGGTTTTTAAAAATTAATTACATAATGATTGGGTTTGAAATTTTGGTTCATTTTAGCGTTTTGTAAAAAATAATTCACCGACGTGCATCTAAACTTCAGCTACAGTGGAGCGTCATTTTCCTGAAAGACACATCTCTTCATATACACACACACACACACACACACACACACACACACACACACGCACACACGCACACAAACACATGCCACACATACACAAATAGACAGACACACGCAAACACTGGGTGCAATTGTTAGGCTGGTGATGAATTGTTGTTGAAAATAAAAATTCAAACCGGAGAAGAAATTTAATGTAAACAAGAAAGATGGTTCACAAAAAAAATATAGAAAACAATTGTTTTTTAGACATAGGTAGATTCGATAGGTCGACACACATACACTTCACATTATTTATTTGCATCTATTAAATACATGTGTGGCTAAAATATGTGCACATCAAAATTCCGCAAATATTATTATGGCGAAGACATCAAACACGCATCAAAATATTTACAAAACACGGTGAGAAGATGGCTGAGAGAATGTTGAATGATTGATAAACCTAAAAATATTAAATTCGACTGGCGAGATTCATTGTAACCTGGCAAATGTTGTATTTACATTGAGGTCAGATGTTGTATTAACATAGAGATCCAGTCCACTCCATGCGTAAAGTTTCCCTGCTTTTGGGTGTTTCTATCTTATTTTTTGCAATTAATTAGTTTTATGTTTTATTCATTTCTAAAATTAATTATTGTTGCAAATAATTTTATTAAAAAATTTGTGGATGCATGCATACTTTTTCACGTTAAATCTCTACATAACCGTTTGTTTTTGAGATTAAGAATGTGTGTCGGCGTGAAATGAAAGAAAACTGTATTTAAATATGTGCAATTGTGCACGTATGTATGTATATGCACGTGTGTATGTATGTGTATGTATGTGTATGTATATATGTATGCATGTGCATGTGTGTATGTATGTGTGCATTGGTGTAAATATTTGTTTTTATGATTGTATGTTTTCATGTACGTTTGTTTATGCATTAGTTTAAAAACATGTGTGTACTTGTTTGTATGTGCATGCATGTATGTATGTTTTTAATGTATGTACGTTTGTATGATGCATGTATATATGTTTACGTGTGCATATTTTTGTTTGTACGTGCAGAAAGCTTCCAACAGAAAGGTACTGAATGGTGAAGTCAACACGTGAGCTAACAACAATGAAAATGTGTGAGACTTCACCATATCGGACAGAGTGAACAATTGTTGCACATGAATTACTAAACCAACCTTTGTGAAAGACGTTTTAACATAGCCTCATTAATAGATACGATGTTCCTTTTTCTAAATTCGAAAATTTTAAGCACATTTTTCTGCTACAACTACTGATACACTTCTGCTACTACTACCGCTAGTGCTGCTGATGCTGCTGCCACTGGTACCACTACTATTAATAATGATAAGAAGAAGAAAAAGTATGTTTTCAGAGGCATAAGGATTGAAACATTATCTTAAAGTTCTTAACATTATTATTTCATTTCTGTATTTATAAGTCATAAATGTTATTGTTATTAGCACAATAAATCATACAGATAATCCTATTTCGGTTATAAATCATTTGTTTTATCATTGTTATTTTTATTATTATTATTTTATTATTACGTATAATTGGTGTTGTTGTTTTTGCTGTTCGTCGTCGTTGTTTTCCTATTACACATAAAAAGTTACTAATTATTGTACTACTAGCTATGTATTATTATTGTTAATAATAATAATAATTGTATAATAATAATAATAATAATAATAATAATAATAATTATGTTGCAGTTGCTTTGTTTCCCATTTTCATTATAATTATGTTCATCATCATCATCGTCGTCGTCGTCACCATCTTTCATCTTCATCATTTCCTTCGCATCTCATCCTCATCTTCATCATCATTTTTAATTTGAAGCAGCAGCAGCAGAAGTAGAGATGGTTACTAAATTAAGACATAATTTAAATTTTACATTAAAAGCTGTAGAATAATATTTATTGAAAGATGGCGAGCACGTCAAAACAACAAAAAACACAAAAGACATAATGGCTTAATTAATTGTAATATATATATATATATATATATATATATATATATGTATAATATATAATATATGTATATATATATATATATTATAGTATGTAATGAGTAACATCTTGTAACATGACATAACGTAACTTAATGAAATGTCATTTCAGAATTAAGAATGGATGACTGAACGGAAGGATGAATGAATGAACCCATTAGGATGGTGCATGCAAATGATGGAAGTGGTAGCGTCCTAATAAATCATAACACACACATGCCCTAATTAAGTTATTATAAGTTATCGCAACAAAAACGACAAAAACAACAACAACAGATCCCAACAACAACAACAACAAATCCAAACAACAACAACAGATCCAAATAACAACAACATATCCAAATAACAACAACATATCCAAACAACAACAACAGATCCAAACAACAGCAACAGATTCAAACATCAACAACAACAACAACAACAGATCCAAATAAAAACAACAGATCCAAACAAAAACAACAACAGATTACAAAAGCAACAACAACAGATCCATAAAACAATAACAGATCCAAACAACAATAACAGATCCAAATAACAACAACAGATTAAAACAGCAGCAACTTCAACAACAGATCCAAACAACAACAGATACAAGCAACAACAACCGATCCAAACAACAACAACAGATTCAAACAACAACAACAACATTAGATCCAAACAACAACAGATTACAACAGCAGCAACAGATAACAATAACAAAGACTATTATAACAGAATATCACAAACAATGATAAATACAAAGAAAAAGTAGTTAAAAACGAATATCTTCAAGAAATAATACTAAAGCCTTTAAAACACACTAGCTAAAAAACAGCTATGAAAATTTATTCTGTGCATATCAATATACTGTATTACAATAACATCAACGTACAATTACATCACATCACATTATACAACATCACATTTCATTACTCAACATTTCGCTACTCAAACAACATCACAAAACTTCAATTTTCATTAAAAAAAAGATAAATAAATAAAAACACATCCCTCAACGTCAGCGTCACACTTGACATCACAGCATCGCAACACAATAAATGAAAATTAAATTAAAAAATTTTTTTAAATCCTTCATCTCGTGACGTTTATTCTTTGTTTCAATGGATGAACACGCAAATTTAAAAACAAACAAGTCACACACGTAGGCACATACTGAAACACACGCACACAGGCACACATACACATACACGCAAACACACTCACACACACACACTCACATTTTAAAGAAAATGTTTTTTACAATATCTTATTATTTATTTCAATTTTTAAATTTTTCTACTCTTATCAAAATATTGTTATTTAGTGATATATAATATTATTTTAATTGATTTGTCATTATTATTATTATTTATATCATTATTATAATTATTAATTATTAATTAATTAATTAAACAGCATCAGCAAAGGAAAATTATACAATAAAAAATAATACAGACCACCACGATTGATGCGTGCATTCGACACCATCCAAGTACAGGAAACTCATTATGGCCAACATGGTCAACCACTTGTCCATGGTCAACACGGGCCGTAAGTTCTTCATGGAGTTCATTTTGTGGTGTTTGTTGCTGGCGTTGTTGTTGGTACTTTTTTTATCAAATGTTTTGTTGTTTTGTTTGTTTATACTGATGATTTCGTTGATGTTTTTGTTGTTGTTGTTGTTGATGTTGTTGGTTGTGTCGTTGTTTACTGGGCTAAACAAACTAATGGCGTGCATGTTGAGGTTGTTGTCACTTCCATAATTTAGATTCTCAACAACTTTAATCTTTTTGCTTTTATTGTTGCTATTATCGTGGACATTGTTGTTATTGTTAATGCTATTGTGGTGACAAATGTTGCAAGATGTAATGCGATTGTTGATACATTCGTCAACATGTTGCCCGTTCACGCTGAGGTCTCCATCGAAATGTTGATTGGTGTTCCGAAATCTGCTGCCAACTTCCAAGCCAGTGTTGGCGCCATTCATGTTTTTCACCAATTTTAAATTTTGGATGATCAATATCGCTTTATAGTTTACAATTTTTTGCAATTACATGAATTTATTTAAATGTTAAGATACCCCAAGTTAAATCATATAACTTTTCAACTAAACTAATTTAAAAACTGTTTTTAACTTCCAAATAAGAAATTCTTACTAAACATCACATTAAATAAGTCTTCGAAAAAGTTCGTCGAACGAAAAACGACAATGTGAATGTCGTGTTATGAATATTGTTAACGATGAATTCAACTAACTGCAAACAAATTGTCAATCAATAATAACTCAGATCATTCACGTACCTGCTGTTGCATTACAGCGTGCAATTTAAATAGAACTTTCAAAAAAAGTTAAACGTACTTCCAACGCTGAGAGTTAGTTTGTTGTTTGAGAGCCAGCGCAAATGCAAACAACAGTTTTATAACACTGCACGACGAATGCACTACATAAATGATGTTAACGAATAACACACGGCAGATGATATACAACGGTTTTATTTACCTAGTCGTACAAAAATCCTTTTATATAAAAATCCATTTATGTGAATTTTTTTTAGACAAATTGCAGTATGTGTAATAATAATTTTTTTATTTGTTTACAAATATTTGTGAAATAACAATAGAAGTGTTAATGTGGATGAGATGGTGATGAAATGTAAGGAGCAAGTAATATAAATGATGTGCCGGTCTATAAACATTATTTATTTATTATCTCTATATGCTTCTGTTTCTCTCTCTCTCTCTCTTTCTGTATGTGTGTGTGTTTTTGTTTGTTTGTATCTGTGTGTGTGTGTGTGTCTGTTTTGTGAAAAGATATCTGTATTGTCTGACATTTGTGTTAGTGATTTCTATGAGTGTTTGCGCGTGGTATGTGTCGATGTGTTCATAATTTCATTTACTTTCACTATTACATTTACATATACCAAAGTTTTTAACATTATGTATTTGATATACTAATTTTAGAGTCGCAACGATCGGCTTAGTCGTATATTCGCTGTAATTTGCGGGTTTTTTGGTGTTTAGTTTTCGGCTTCGACCGAATCGTGGATTCGGCGCGATTCACTATTCGGTGCATCTCTAATTTATATAAGTGTCGCTGGCTGTTTGGACGTTCGGATGTTTTTGTGATGATACAAATGCGTGATGAGCTTTGTTTAGGAGTTTCTGGTTAGTTCGATCATTTATATATTTACTTTTTATTTTAATCATTTATTCATTGGAATATTTTTGGTTATTTGATGTATCACATATACATTCATACACATACACACACATGCACACAAACATTTAGATACACGCACACACGAACACACACATTTTTTTTTACTGGCACGCACGTTTTGTTTATTCGTGTTTATTTATATAAAAAAGTATATGTGTCATTATTTTCATTTGGTTATTCATTCAAACTTATTTATAATCATTTATTATATTAATGTGTTATGATTACATTGAATTTAAAAACATGACTTGAATGTATTTCTATACACGTGTATGTGTAGTTTACGTGTGGAAGTGGAATAAATATTTCTTTATTCAATTGCGATCAGCTTCTAATAAAAATTTGATATTTATCTGATGCAGTAGTCTTCATGAAATTCAATCTTAATTAGCAGCTCCTTCCAGCTCACAACAACACCACACAACAACGCACAACAAAAACGATAACACAAAATCGCCACAACATCACAACAACAACATCAGCACGTGATCATCATTATTTGTTGTATGTAGGCTGGTTTATGTTTGTGTGTGTAGTGGGCTTGTAATTGTAAGCGGACTAAGTTTTCTTTTCTCGCGAATTTAATTAACACAAAACTTGAAGTTTTTACTGGGAAAATATTCTGATGGAGAAAAAAAGTTCTTCATAATTGCATTTGTGATTTGAACAATCATCCATCGAATGTTTGATTTGGACAACTTACTCTATTGCTGATCAGTAGGCACGCAGATGAAGAACGACATAACAAAATTTAAATCTACTTCAAAAATATGATAGTATTTAAGCTTCAGTCAAACGATTCTTGTTGAAATAATTTGCAGACAACTAACAATCATTTAGAAAATGTCAGTTGTAACATTTCTTTGCAACAACATTGGAGTACATAATTATAATATTAATTAAGATGTATCATAAAAACACGTGAGCGATCATTTATCAGTTACCAAAGTTTAATAAATAGCAAGCACATCAACGAATGAGGATCATAGAAATATTTTCTTCGTTCCAAAAAATAACAGCTTATCAACACTCATCTTGAAAATAATGCAGAATGCTGATAACATTTGACTTCTCATTCATTCTGATAACTGACTGATTTTTCTTGGTAATAGAATAAAAGTTCGTTTTCCAGTTTTACTTCATTTTATCTCGATCAGTTTGTGTTTTAAACATCATTTTCAGTTACAAGTTGTTAGTTTCGGTTGATTTATTACATATGCTCCCATATTTCAGTGAGAATATTCCTGAAAGGATTAAATAACCGTGTTCACGAGTTTTTGTTTAATCGAATATCATTCCTGTTTTTTTTCAAACTAATTTTAAAGACGCACACACACACACACACACACACACATATATACATATATATATATATATATATACATATATATATATATATATATATATCTATAGGAAACTTATATAGCGCCAATTAAATGTATATATATACATACATACCCGAAACATCAGAGACAAACCATTTTATACAAAACACTAACAAAGTCATACAATAATACCGATACAACAACAATCTTACAACAGTAAGACAATAATACCATAGCAATAATACCAAAAAACAGCAATACCCGAACTTCAAAACAATAACAACAACAATAACATACACAAACGAATTTAAAACTTTCAAACGTTAAAAATCTTTTTTCTATTTCTTTTATGCATTTTAAGCGGAAACAATAAGACTATCATCATTCTGGAATGGAAATCCGAGACTTAATTCAGCCCGAAAAAATCCATCATATCGTCTGACGTCCTCTCTTCATGGATCAATACGCATCTAATGGTCCGATGGTTTGGATGATGAACAATCACGTCGGAAATTTCATTGGGCACCGACGTTCAGTGAAACTCAAGGAAATGCTGTGGTGGATGAAGACAACTTTGAGGAGGGGAGAGCGCAAACTTTCCAAAATGAGACCGGGTGGTGGGTGGGTATTTCCATAAACAATTGTTTGATTGATATTTGAGGTGCATACACTGGTCATTAGTTGCTGTATTCTTTTCATGGTGATTTGTAATTTTTCACAGGAAGAAAGCTGTTTAAAAATGTTCTGGTGGATTGGAGGATGATCGATCGCCATGCAAAAAAAGAAGTATTTTTTTCATTTTAATTTACCTTTACATTTACTTCGTCCATTCAAAAGCGATTCATTGTTTTTTACTTTATCTGCTTCTTTTAGTGAGGGATGATTAAACAACATAGATAAGTTAGGGACTGAGCTGAGTTTAATGAACATAGGTAAGTTAGGGACTGAGCTGAGTTAATACGACATAGGTAAGTTAGGGACTGAGCTGAGTTAATACGACATAGGTAAGTTAGGGACTGAGCTGAGTTAATTGAACATAAGTAGGTAGCTTTCTATTTTCTCTTTTCACTTTTTTAATGGGATGTGTAATTTTTTGTTTTTTTTTTTTAATTTTCTCTTTTTTTGCCGATTGTTCAACGAGTGAAGGCTTCTGCATCAAATTGTTCTGCGTCATCAGACTGGATGGTTCTTGTAAAGAGAAACATTTCGAACTAGTTGATTGGGGGTTGGCCATGGCCCGTTGGAGGTCGTTCCATGGTAAACTGTGATAGGACTTCAAAGCAGTCAGAGTGCATCCCAACACCCCAACACGGAAACAAACTAGGCTGCTACTAGTTTTTTTTATCTGTCTATATTTCATGTAGATGTGTTTGTTTTAAATCCGAAATTTTTCAAATATGTTAATCGCTGTGTTTTTCTTTCCTAAATAAAATATCAAAATTGTTTGTAGATATGTATGATTAAAAAAATGTTTGTTTGCGCTTCAGCAAACCCTGAAAATAATTTTCTGATTAATATATGGATGAATGAATGAACGAATGAATTAATTAATTAAATTTTAAGCTGCCAATAAATTACTAAGCACTCGTTCAATTCGTTCAAGCGTTCTTTTAAATAATTCTCTGCTATTCAGAAGACATCAAAATTGGAAGATGATGGTGGTCGCGGGTTTTACAGTGCTGTTGAAAAGTTTAGTATTTCTTTATCTACATTCGCTCATGGGTTTGTTCTTCGTTGGTTAGTTCATTCATTCACTCATTCATTTAGAGTGTGTGTGTGTGTGTGTGTGTGTGTGTGTGGTGTGTAACGTGTTAGATTTGAAATCAAAAGATTTGAAATGGTTAGTCAATTACTTAATTGTTATATTTGATTTTAAACGTATTATATATAGCCGATTTTGGTTTTTATTTTAAATCAGCATTCACGAGATTTTAAAAAAGTGAAAATAATTATAATGTAAATAATAATAACAAAAGTGATCATAAAAATGTCAGTAACAATGCTGTAATAATACTTATTCAACGAATTCGTATACTTACACCAACATACATTACTTACACTGACACACAGGCACGTATACATAGGCACAAATACTCATACATACATATGCACGTACATGATGACCATGAACTAACAACATATCGAAGGAAGGACCAACCTTGACATTTAAAAAACTTTTTAATTTAATTTCATTGCGATATTAATGATGATGACCTAATTATAAAAACCCATCAAAAAAATTTTACAAAAACATGGCGGGCGGTACATATATATATATATATATATATATACTTATACATAAATGGTGCATGTATATATATTTTTCACATAATTATGCAACTGTTTAGTTGAGCAGATATGCACAAAGATCGTTTCCTTATTTCAATGTTATTCCTGGAAATTAGCATAGGATGTTTTTTAACTTTTATACAACGGTTGACGCATAAAATAAAACATCAATTTCTCTTTATACCATTTTTAAAATCGCCTTCATCCGTAAACTCTAATGTATTGAGTTGTAGGTTGGATGAAATGAAATGCAATGAGCATAAGTTAGTCTGTAACATGCAAATATTCTGAAGTGTTTAAACGTTCAACAAAGTGTGCCTGACCATCTACGAGCCTCATAAATAACACGATGCTCCTAATGTTTTTGTTGTCGTTTTGTGCTCGAGGCAACAATTAGTCTTAAAATATAGGCGCATTAAAGTTTGAAACTTAAAGAACAAGAAACTTTATGTGCATCATATAATTATCGAACAAATATACTACATATTATTAATCAATATACTATGAATAAAAGAGATAAAACGAAGAAGGAAAATGAAAAGGTAAGCATCAAAGAACACTACAAAAAACGAAAAAGAAAAAAAATATTTTAGAAAGTGGAGCACTGATCAAAATTCCAACTCTAAGAGTAATTTAAATAATTAAAAAGTATTGTCCAGACTTTTCTTCAAATAATTTCTCAAATTGACGTCTAAATGATCAACATAAAGAGCATTAAGACAATAGCGAAAAAAACATTTATTAGAACACTGCGAAAGAAATCTCACGTGCTTATTCAAATCTACGATTTCTATAGAAAATCTAACAGACGTTTGATGAACATCCGACCCGACGATTATTTTTTTAATAATTTACGGCTATGGCAGCCTCTTTCGTAATCTTTGCTTCGGAAATTCTCAACCATTGCTTAGAGCAGCTGAAATAGACCGAGAAACGGCATTGACAAACAAGACAACCACACAATCTTTCGGTTTACAAGCTTTGAGAACCTCAGAAAGTAGAAAATGACAAATAACGACAATTCAACTTGAGACTTTATTAAAAAAAGTCGCAAAATAATAAAAATACAACGCGCATATCTATCCGCATCTTAAAGTTTATTACCAATCCATCGACAGACAAGGCACACGAGACTTTCAATTTAAAAAAAAAACGAAGTTGCCGAGATGCGCAGACATGTAGATTTATTTGCAGATAAGTCTGCCAATGTTTAACAACACTAACCCGGAAAATAAATTAAACACTTACCTTAAAAGAAATACAACAATGACTTACAGAATTTCATTACAAATGATTGACATAAATAATAAAAAAAAACTAAAGAGAGACCGAACAAGTTACGATAATGAACAACTACTTATCTGGTTGACGAGTAAGAAAAATAATACATTGAAAAATAAGAAATAATCAATTCTTCTTCTTGCCGGTTTTGACGGGCACAACCGGTACAACTGGGACGGCGTGGATTGATAATGACATCTTGTTCATGTAGTAAATGTGCACCATTGAAAACAGGAAGCTGCATAAAATAAAATAAATAAAATTATGTCTGTGAAATAAATGAAATCATTAACTGTAACATTTAAATTCAAATCAAGCAACATATGAGAGTAACCATCTGTCCTAGATTAGCCATTGAATAAAACTACAACATGAGTAACAAACACTACGATAACTAACTACTGTATGTTATGTATAGATAAATGTTAAGTGATGCACGAGATGATATGATGACTGGTGTGTATAAAAAACATAGTAACCAGGTTGTGACACAGACGCGATGAACCAGACCAGACGCAAACATTGATACCAGCAATGAAAAGAATACTGAAACAAAATATAAATTATTACAATTACTCAAGGGAAACACAATACGGTGAACACCATAAACATAAATATGTTATGTATCATCATATATTCTCACATGTATTATCTAAAATACTAAATTTATTCTCCCAATACATTTCCTTCAAAGTTGATGAAAATGCAAGTGACACTGTACAGTGTACATTCCAAACCATATTAATTATAAAAACCTTAGAGCATAATTTTTAATTAAAAGTTGTTACATACTTTCAGGAAAGAGTTGAGCTTGGAATCCCTTTCCAAATGCCACATTTTCAAAATTATTTATAGCCTGAAAAATAATCAAATTGAAAGTGAATTGCAACAGCATTATAATGAAAATTTTAATAATTTATACAAAAATTTCACAAGAAATCAAAGAATTAAAAATTTTAAATTGTTTAAGTTTAAGTGTTGTATACATATATTGTTTATGACTTTTATAAACTATAAAAAAGATTTGTTTATTATAGTAATTATTATTATATTATTATTGTACTACCTAACTAAATATATTTTGTAAGAAAACATAAAATAAATAACAAGTATCTACATTTTTTTATTTAAAATTATTTTACAAATTTTTTTGTTTATATGATTAAGCAATTTTTAAAGCTCACAATTCAAAATTCATTATTAAATAAAAATTTCTGGCCAATAAAATACAAAGATGAAAGTCAAAAGACTAAAGTAGAGTAAGCAGTAATGAGTAAGGGTAAGGGTAAGGCCTATCTCATATAAAAGTATAAAAGCCAAATTTTCAATCTAAACTTTAGATTCTAAAGTAAGCAAAATTTTTATATTAACGTATATATAAAAATAACAAACCGTCAAAATTAGACAGAAGAGAACTGATCCAAGTGCTCCGCCAAAGATGGTCATCCATTCGTTGGAGGCCAACTGACTCTTGTACATTTGCATACCAGCAAACACAAGAACGCCCAGCGTAGCCGATATCAGTAACGAAGTGCTTGTAGAAACCACCGCTGTCAAAAACAAAATGAACCAAATCAAATAAAAAAAATTTCATGCAAGATCATAATAATTAAAAAAATTCGAAGCAAAATAAAGATTAAACAAACTTACCCATTTCGCTGGTACAAAATATGTATACGTGTAAATATGACTTGTAAGCTATCAACGAAGATTTATCATAAACACGGCATCCCTATTTCTTGTAATATTTTTTAAATTTCTATTGAATAGTAAAAAATTGAAAAATTTTGGAAGCTCGAGCACTACAAAATTATTTGAAAATATAAAACCACGCATTTAGTGCATTATAATCATGGTTTTAAATTCGACAGAGAGCTTCATGGCAATAATATTTTTACTAGCTAAAAATACGGTATTGCGATATAGTTAGTTCAATTCTCACGATAAAATTTCACGAGTATCATTCTGACGGATGATCTCTGATCTCATTCTATGTGTACTGAAAATTTAACGTGCTAAAAGAGTTGAGGAGAGATAACTGATAAACCGACCTTTAGTATATACGGAATAGCTTTTTTATAATTTCCTAGAAATTAAAACATTTTTTAAAATCAACTTAAAAAACCAATTGCTGTATTAATATAATTTATTGGTTAAATATATATCAATGGGTTAAACTTTATAATTACATAAAATTTAACAACACAAATTTTGTGCGTTTTAAACTAAAATACATTAAATAATAAATTCGAAAATTCACGAACATTCTCGAACGAATATTCAAGTATTTGCGAAAGGTAGCACCAAACACTTGCTCTCATCTGCTGAATATCTTCTAGAAATTATTATCAGCCTGAGTTGATGTCTTTCGTTTGAAAATATTTTTTTAACTATTTGCAGGCATTAATATGCTTTCTCAAAGTTTAAAGAAAAGTTTTTTTTATATTTTTCAAAATAATATTATAAATATAAACTTTACCTTATGTTAATACGTCAAAAAGCAATTTTTTTCAGTTATTGGATAGATTGAACCTCCGTTTTGAACGCTAAATATCGAATCATTTTCGATAAACTAACTCATTGCTGTTTTAGTTATTAAAGAGAAACTTTAAAAACATTCTTGAAATTTGCTGGCCGTAATATACGTTCAAAAGTTGTAGAAAATTTATTTTGTGTTCGATTTCGTAGTGGACTAAAGCTTTTCGAAAATATTGCCAAACTACAATACGATGGGAAAAGATTATTATAAAATACTTGGACTGCAAAAGGGTGCTTCAGATGATGAACTTAAGAAGGCTTACAGAAAGATGGCGCTCAAGTATCACCCCGATAAAAATAAAGCTGCGGGAGCGGAAGAGAAGTTTAAAGAAGTCGCGGAAGCTTACGAGGTTCTGAGTGATCCTAACAAAAAAGAAATATATGACAAATATGGAGAAGAGGGTCTTAAAAGAGGAGCTGGTGGTGCAAATGACGGTGGTGGCACCAGCACAACTTACACATTTCATGGAGACCCGCATGAAACGTTTAGAATGTTTTTCGGTGGTGAAGATCCTTTCAAAATGTTTGGAGGCATGCCTGGAAACAGCTCTTTTCAGTTTACTAGTAACATGGATGTGGATGATGACGGTCCTGGTGTCAATATGTTTTCAAATTTTTTCCCTGGTATGGGTGGTGGTAATATGGGCAGTGGAGTTCACAGAAGTTACTCACAAGGATCACATGATAGCCAGAAAAAACAAGATCCAACTATAACATATGATGTTCTGGTTACTTTAGAAGAAGTTTATAAAGGAACAAACAAGAAAATGAAAATAACAAAAAAAGTGTTAAGTCCTGACCGCAGAACAACAAAACCGGAAGACAAAATTTTAGCTTTGGAAATTAAACCAGGCTGGAAAGAGGGAACAAAAATAACATTTGCTAAAGAGGGTGACCAGAAACCAAACAAGATTCCTGCTGATATAGTCTTCATCATCAAAGATAAGCCTCATCCACTTTTTGTCCGAGATGGATCAGATATTAAATACAAACACAAACTATCCTTGAGAGATGTATGTTTTTATTCTAAATTTGATCATTTTTAAAGTTCATTTTTTGTTAAATTTTACAAACTTTTTCATTTCTTTTTTCTCAGGCAATTCTAGGAACAACAATACAAATACCAAATCTTGATGGGCGTAGAATATCGAAGGAAATTGGACCATTGCGTAGTTCATCATATACTTTAAAGATTCCTAATGAAGGTCTCCCTATTTCAAAAACGCCAAACAAGAGAGGTGATCTCATTGTTGAATTTGAAGTCTTCTTTCCAGACAATCTACCAGCAACCACTAGAAACAGAATTGCAGATCTATTAAGATGATCGATTCAATTGTGTTTCATTAAATTAATCAATAAATTAATGAAGGATAAATAATAAATAATTTAATAAATTAATAAATGTTTAATTTATTTCTATGTGTAATAACAGCTAATGACACTTGATTCGTCAATGCTTTATTTTTTCATTCTTTACCAGTGCAGTTTAAAACAATTATGATAAATGGTCATTTCATTCGTTAATCTCTTGTTAGTATGGTCCCTAGTTATATTTAACTTTTGATAATTGTTATAATTCAATGTTCATGTCAGATAAATTATTGCATAATTTGATTTTTGCACATTAAAAATGTCAGATGAATGTATCAAAGTTGGTTTATTAGGCTTCAACATATCTTTAAGCCGTGTTTTTTATAATGTTGATATCACGAGGTTTCGATTGAGTAATGTAAGTACATTCGGCTTGGAACTGCTTGCGTCATTAAATTATGTTTTTGCCTCTCATCATTAATTTCGGCTATCATGAGCTATCGAACACCTCATTCAAGGTCGACGACCGCCCGCCAGCAAAAAAATCTACAGAGATGTTTCAGCCGGAATCGCAGCAGCTGTTGGCAACTATGCCATGATTATTAATATCGATTATTTACGTGGTATTTGCACGTAGTTTGAATTTCAATGTTTAGAATTTTCATGTATGTTTTGTACAGACCAGCGATCACCTATTTTTGCTGTCGACGTCGTAATCTCGAAAATTAAAACATTCCTTCGAACATCGTTTTGTTGACCGTGTTATCGAATTCAGTGCAGTATGTGCGTAGAATTTCAAACCTTACTTAGAGCAATGGCGACATTTTCAACTTTTTTACCTTATAACGACCTTATTGTCTGGCGATCTTAAAGTCAGACGATCTTAATGCTTGGGGGCATAACGTCCGGCGGTCTTTTGTCCGGCGGTTTTAGCTGGCAACTTTTTCACCTAGAACCGGCAATAAATATTAATGCTACTGTTTATTCATTAACTGGGCATTATGCTTAAGGTTATTAATTAACATTGATTGAAAAACTATTAGCAAACGTTAGATATTGCAACTAGAGAAGCTCAACGAAAATAGTGAACAAAAATACACAAACGTCAAAATTGAATATTATAACAAATGGCTTTAAACGAAATGCAGATATAATGCAAATTTAAGTAGTAACCGATGAATAAATTTCAAAATTTGCTTTTAACATTTTCGGCAGCCTCTGAAGATGATGTTAGTAAAATGCTGCAAAATTCATCTGGAAAGTACTGTCAACAAGATGTTGCATCAACACGCATTCTCAAAACATTTATCAATTTGTCTGCACCTTTTAAGCCAATATATATGCTTATATTAAGGCTTCTTCAGCTGGCAAACATTCTATCATAGACTACATTTCTTAAAAAACAAAATGGTTATAAAAATCATTGGAAACTACAGGCCAATTTCCAATCTGTTCTTTCTATCCATGATTATGAACATATGCTTCACCAAACAATAACTTAGTTGCGTAAAAAGTATTTATTCATTAACGCTACCGCTTCACCAATCTGAATTCAGGCAATTTCAACCACTCTACCTAAACGGCTCTTTTGTAAAATTTGTCTGTGGTGTCAATCGAAAAATCAAATTGGTCAATTTATGAGGAACACAGACACAACACATGCACTCACACAGATCGTTGCTATAAAACTTCGGTTGATGTGAAAGAAACAAAGGGATTTGTCTAAATGGATATGTTTATAAAGGGTTTACATAATATAAAGGGATATGTCTTAAGTGAGTGCACTGAAAAATATAACCGCAGCGCAATTGAAGCATTTGTAAATGGAGCATTCACACACTCACTTGTATTCTCTTTAAACAAACAAGGAATCAACAAAGTAGAGTAGAGACACAGTATATATATATATATATATATATATATATATATTTGAGCATCTAGGCTCATACACTACATATCAATTGGAATACCGAAGATGATATAGGAATACCGAAAAAAGATAAAAAAGATTGGAAGTTAACTAACGTCGAACATGCTGTGATTTTCATCAATAATTGCATATATATATATATATATATATATATATATATATATATATATATATATATATATATATATATATATATATATATATATATATATATATATATATATATATATATATATATATGAACATAGTTAAACTCTCATGTGGAACCGATAAAAAAAGTAACTTCCATTCAATCAAAGCAAACGCGCTTTTATATAATGTTAAGTTAAGCGTTCTGCACATTCAACGTCAATTTCAATTCATTTTCAAGCGAGATTATTTTGTACGTAATAATCTTAAACATCCATCATGCTGTTCGGAGATTGAACATAAAACACTTTACGGAACGATATTAAGACAACACTTCAAATAATTTGTTAGCTGTTTTTCAAAAATAAGAATTAAGTTGATACGTTTAATGATTTTCTTGCTACGATGGACAAAATCAGTGGCGTTATTGGATCAGTTTCTGTTGCCAAAGGAAGAAGTGATGATGATTTCTCGGACAGACTCTCTTACCGGTTCACAACGAGTTTTCTGATTGTTTTTGCAATTCTGGTGACGACCAAGCAATTTGTAGGCGATCCCATTCAATGTTGGGTTCCCGCTCACTTCACCATGAACCACGAGGAGTACACGAACGATTACTGTTGGATCAGGAATACTTATTACTTGCCGTATGATGAGTACGTCCCTAAAGAGCACGAGAGGGAAAAGCGCCAGATGATTCCTTATTACCAATGGATGCCATTGATTCTGCTCGTTCAAGCCTTAAATTTCTATCTACCTATTCTTCAGTGGAGAACTTTCAATAAAAGGTTGGTCTTTTTTTTAATTTAAAAAAATTTGAGATTCATGCGTTTTATTTTTCAAAACTTTTCCCGTTTTAAATTGTTTAACTTAATTTTAAAGGACCATAAAAAATTATACATTGTAAACATTGCGTTGATCAATTTTATGCATACAAAAATTGTTAAATAGTTGATTGAAATTAATTTTAATTGAGGTCGGGAGTTGATGTGAACAACATAGTGGAAGCAGGCAAGAAGTTCATCGATGCAGAACACGTGGACAAGAGAAACAGTACTTTGGAATACATGGCGCATCAAATGGACAGGTCCGTTCGCAACTATTTTCTTAACTGGAAAATATAAACGTGAATTTTAATGGCAATCGACAAGAAATGCGATGTTTGATATAATAATATATAATAAATCGCTTTATTTTTATCAACTTTTTTACGAAACTGTTGTTATTATGAATAACAGTAGTAGTTGAAAAATTTTTTCGATTAAAAGATTTTACTTTATTAACTAACGTACCAGTACTGTTGTTAGCTTATTTTAAAAGATAAAATTAAGAAGATATCATTCGATCAATTTGTTGCTAAAGCGCCATTTCTGCGATGTTCAACAGCGCTCCTCAATGAATTTTGCAATCAGATAAGTCATGAGATCCACTCTGAACATAGTAAATGATGGAGAAGTAGAGAAGGAGGTAGAAAGTTCTGGAGAAAAGAACCGGAAAAGGCAAAAACGGATTTAGCGTAAGAGTGGGATTATGACAGATGAAATGAACATCAAGAATATTGATACTATGGTAAGGACAGTGTAAAGTTTACCTGCTAAGTTATTTTTTAAATTTTAGAATTCGGTTTCAAAATTACATAAATTTCACACTAAGCATTATTATAGGGCGTTAAAATTGTAGTTGAATTGTCAAATTAGGGCGGTGCGGGTGATAGATTTTCGCGGAAACAAATTGTTTAGCAAGATGTTTTCGTTCCAAAAATCGAAACATTCAGATACAATCCATTCAAGTGATGTTTGAAAACATAACCATTTTATTCTACAATAAATTCAAACCGGTTTTGCTGTACGCAAGCAGCTGGACATCTGCCCGGCAAAAATAAGATAAATTTTATTATTACTTACAATACGTTTTCTATGAAATTATAGGTAACCTGGTCATTGAACAAAAACTCATAATAAAAATGAAGATCTGCTATAATTTATGTTCGAAAAAACTCTATCATTAAGATAGACTTTTGTTGCAGTGGTTTAAAATCATTCCGCTCATATTTAGTGTAATGGTTTACGAGCCTTGTATTATTCTAATGTTTCAATTATTCGCAGTTTTCTATTTTTATTTAAAACATTTTAATGTATAGTCAAGCTCTTAACGTTAATCTGAATGATGACCAAATTTGACAAATTAATAATTTGTATTAGTGTATGCCTATGCAAGTCTATTCATTTTAGATGATAACAGAAAAGTCAGTATCATACCATTTTTTGTGCACTTTCTAAAAATAATATTTTTATTTTTGCTTAAATATATTATATGAACAGACAGCCAGAAACATTAACACTACTAACTAAGTGAAACTTCATCAGGGCTCCAGCAAGCATGTGCTCCTTTGAACTTATGCTAATCATAACAGACACGTGAAAATGCGTCTATGCTAATGAACCAGTTCCCAATGTGATGAAATGAATGTTATGTCTAGTCATGGTCAGCCGTGCAATTAAATCGCTCATTACATATGCGCTAATTTCCAAAACAGTACGACGTACTAAATGTATTAGAAATGTAAAATGATTAAAAAATTGTATTTTTTAATTGAGTTGTAGCTAAGTTTTGCTTTTGACGATGTTTTTCAAATTTTTATAGACAATGAACATTTAAACACGAACATTCGAAGTAATTGAATTTAACATTTTAACACGCCTCAACTGCTGTTAATTTGCAAGTCAATGCTGCGTTTTACACAAATTAGTAAGGGTCAAATTCGTCTGGTTAAAATTTTTGCAAACGATTCCTATAGCTTGTAAATTATAAAACTTACTAAAAACATTCATTTACATTCACAGATACTTATCAAGTCAGAATATTTACAAAACAGAGTGCACTCTCAGTTTGAAACATCTCTTCACTCGAATATGTTGCAAAATTTGTGGCAGAAACTACGGAAACTACCTTGTCACCTTGTACATCTCCACCAAGATTTTGGTTCTTATCAACGTCATTGGTCAGCTCTTCTTGTTAGACACGTTCCTCGGGATCGATTTCCATATTTACGGTTTGCAAGTGTTGGCTTCGGCACTGAGAGGCGAAGATTGGACCATTTCGCCGAGATTCCCGCGCACGACCATGTGCGATTTCAAAGTTCGCCGACTAGGAAATGTTCAACGTTACACCGTGCAATGCGTCCTGCCGATTAATCTTTTCAACGAAAAAATTTATCTCTTTCTCTGGTTTTGGATGGTGTTCGTGGCCCTGATGACTTCCATCTCGTTGGCCACCTGGATTTTGAGAGTGGGTTTCCGCATCGATAGGCATCGCTACATCAAAAAACATTTGAAGCTGATGAATAAACTGTCGAAAGATTGGGACAAGCGATTTGCTATAAATTTTGTAGATGATTATCTGAGACAAGACGGAGTTTTTGTGATGAGACTCGTTGGCCACAACACTAATGCATTGACTGTTACTGAGTTTGTTTGTTGTCTCTGGGATCACTACAAAGCAAAATGTCTGACGCAAGATACTTCGCCTGAAAAAAAAGTTCTTGAAGTTGATGTTTGATCGTGGAAAAATTAAATTCATATTTGAATGCTTTCTTCAAATATCATCGTTGAAATATTATCGTTGTTTCATCGTTGAAAAATTAAATTCATATTTGAATGCTTTCTTCGAATATTATCAGCTGAGATATGTTCTAGCTTTATAAGAACTTTTTAATATCTTAAAATTTTGAGGCTATTTTTGCATATCAATAAAATTTTATTTCAAAATAACTTTTAATTTTATTTGATTCGAATGTTTTTGACTAATCAAACGCAATATTGAAACTTGAAATTGAATGCCGTCTAGCGGAGCGGAGCAATTTAAACTTTTCTGCAGCTGGTGATAGTTGCTTACGAGATCATTTTTACCGTTTTTGCTTTTGTGTAGTCAATTTTCACCTCAACTTTAAAACGCCAACCATTTTTTTTGCAATAATAATATTATCTCTAAATTTATTGAATTGGCTAAAAAAATATTTTGATGGAAAATTTAAATAGTTTTTGCAACTTTAAATAAATATGAATAACTTGAAAGTTAAGTTTTTGTTTATGGTTTAATAATTAATCGGATCTTGAATCGGATGAAAAACCAAGAAAAATGTGGAAAATCTGCCAAGAAATGAATTTATAACGATAACAATTCAAAAATAATTAAGATGATCTGTGATGATCGACTGATTGACTGACCAACTGATCGATTGATTGACCAACTGACTCATTGATTGATTGACTGACTGACTAATTGACATTATATTTGTAACATATCATAAAGTTAATGTGAGGTTATGTCACATGCACAACTCATACGGGCATTATAATTTTTGACATGTAGTGTGTATGTGCATAGTTAGTTTGCACGACAGAAGGCAGCTGCAGATGATGATAAGAATAACGATGATGATGATGATGATGATAATAATAATAATAATAATAATAATAATAATAATAATAATAATAATAATGACATTTATAAAGCTCTAATGCAGGATACTGATGTACAAAAATGTAGATGATGAGATGATGATATAGATAGATGACAACGATGATATGATTATGGCGTAGATAATGATACAGATAGATAATAACGATGATATTTATTTATTTATATATTTATTATTTATATGATGAGAATGTAGATGTTGATTTAGATGCTGAAATCGTGCATTGATTTGTTTTCAACCTGATCAAAGTTTGTGCTCTGCAGCGGACTATTAATAACCCACTTTATCGCTTTTGCTGGGAAATGTTTTCGCTGTGAGTTACCCTGCTGTTTTTATTATTGTTGTTATTGCTCTTGTTCTTGTTGGGCAGAAAATCATCGTCGATGTTTTAAAAACTGCAACCCTACCGAATGACATGACTTCCAATTGCGACTCATTATTTTCCATGCCAACAGTAGCAACTTCGTAACAACTTGGAAGGTGAGTGAATGAGGGAGAGGAAAATGTGACATCATCGGCAAACAATAAAACACTGATCTAAACTGAACAAACAGATTCTTTCCTGTATAACTTAATTAAAACATTAAAGTAACGACAAGAGTGCAACTAAAACAACAAAATTTGAAACAACAACGTTTGAAACAACTACATTTAATTGAATTACTGTATTACTATATATATATATGGTGATGTGTAAGTATCTATCCATCTATAATATATAATTATTGAGACCATTACAAGCAAAAAGTTATTAGGTTTTTAAATAAATCAACACACCAAATGGTATATATATACATGCACATATATAAACATAAATCAATAAAAATTCTCTATGTATATATATATATATATATATTTATTTATATATTTATTTATATATTTATATATATATATATATATATATATATACATACATACATAAACATCAGATACATTCATATACACATCTAGAGTAGTATCCAACAGGCGCTATATAGTAACAACAACACTGACAGAATGATTTCAATTTTCTCATCACATTGAATTTATACAGCTGAATATTTTTTTGAAAAGTTAACAAAAATGTTTTTTTTTAATTCAGTCAAAAGTTTACTCGAGATGATCTTCACAGCTTGCAAGATCTAAAACACTTTAAGAATTTTAATGTATAGAAAGGAGGAAATCTTGAAGAGAATGCAGATGCACGGTCAAGTGACTTCCTCCTGTACACCATCTTCACCAACGTACACCTCATCACTATCCTCATCATCATACTCATTTTCTTCATCGTCGTCGTCGTCGTCGTCATCCATGTCCAACAACGTCCAGCGCAGATCATCTGCTGTAGCAGCACCGAACATGTTCACGTCATGGCATAGCCTCTCCGGATATATGCAGTACAAATCCACGGAAGGTTTTTCCACCATCTATCTATTACTATTACACATACACGCGTTTGATGTGTTTAACTTGCAAACGTTCCTCACATGTTGATTTTACGTGTATGGTATACGTATTAAAATGTTTTGAAACATGTTGTAGAATGATTAATCGTTACAAAATTTTACAAAATCGTTTAGTTATGGATTTTAAATGAAATAAATCTGGAAAACACATGGCATCTTATCTATTGTCAAACCATTTGAGAGAAAAAAAATTAAAAAAAAACAACAAGTAGTTTGATTTCAGTTTTGTTACAGATATTTAAGAATACAAAATAGTTGCGTTGGATCTTTAAATTTAAACATCTCTTTAATGGCAAAACCCTTTTTCTATGGTTGAGTTATCTTAACTACAAATTAAATCTTATACAAATGATTAAATCTTTTTTTTCAAAGAAACATAAAATTTCTCTGAATATTTAAATAATCTTGTTTTGATAATAATAGTAACCACATTGTTTTAATTAACCTTTCATCAAGTACTTTAATTAGTTAATTAACTAGTTAATTAATTAATTAATTAATTAACACCTCTGATACTATTTTCATTACTAACGTTATTCCAATTGTCTTGATTAATTTAGAAGGTCTCTGGATAATCTTTATTGTAAATATTGTAATTAGTGTTATCATAATTAGCAATATTAATGCCATTTTCGTCATTATAATCGTCATCATTATAATCGTCATCATCGTCATTGTCATCATTTTCGTTATCATGAACATTATCCTCAACATCATCATTGTCATGCCTGTCCTAAACATCTGTAACGTCATCATCTTTATTATCAATATCACTATCATCATCGTCGTCATCACTATCATCATCACTATCATCATCATTATCATCATCATTATCACTGTCATCATCATCACTATCATCATCATCATCATCACTGTCAGGACTAAGTCGTTTATTCAAACGACGTTTGTGGTTCATACTGGACGATATGAATTGCAAACTGCTCGGCTACAAAAGCGTGGAGACTTCAAAAGCGAGCGGAAGAGTCAGCTTGAAGCCGAGCGTCGAGATTGACCTACGCACTGCTGGCATCTTCCCGAGCTCCTCCAACGACGGAGAATTCACTATCATGTTTGAGATTTTTATCCGCCCACATTTATTTATTTATCTACAGATGGCGTTTTATTAAAAAAACAATATTAATAAATTATATTTTTTACTGTATAAAATAAAAAAAAGTTAACAAATGAAAAAAATGTTGATAATATTGAATGATGAATGGTGTTGATAATAAATCACAAAGAGGTGCAGAGAACGAGCACCAACTGACAGCTGACAACCAGGAATCATCGGTCATATGGCTGCTTGCTCTGCAGGTCTTCTCATCACATCAATCTTTCACTCATTCATTGCATTCTTTCATTTTATAATGACATTATCACATCACTACATTATTAGGCCATTATACCATAACACTGACCAATATACAATTGCACCAATAAAATAATTATTTTACCCTGTTGTAAAATCAATGTATATAATGATAATAATATATCGGTTGTCATTTAAAAAATGTTCATTAAAGTTGTATTTTTAAAACTATTAATTGAAGTTGTTTTTTTAAAACGACAGTCGCTGAGAAACCGCAGTCAAGGAACGGACATGACAACCCTGGCCAGCTCCATGGCCACATTGGCTGCCCTTCAACCTTCATCTGAAGTAATTTAGCTTGTGTTATTTCAAATATTTAAACTTAATTTGAGGATGTTTTTTTTTAACTTAACAAAAATGTTGCCCGTCATAACAAAATTTTTTAATATATAATTAAAACATAGAGGTAGGTAAGTGTTTCTATTTGAGTATTTTCAACATTTTGAAATCCTGAAGTCTGAACTTCGGCAACAAGTGCTTGCAAGCACGTCCAACATGAAACCGCCATTGAAACCAAAACATCGCAGTGTGTCCTTACTTCCGTCGTTTCATTTGTGCGCCAATTCAAATTTCCAAACCGCTAAGATGAGCAACAGTTCCCCTCAAAAATCAGTTTTTGAGGACATCAAGCACAAAGGCGTGTCCCTCGATAGCGGCATGGAGTTTTACAAAAGTAGAGGTTTGCTTTATTATTTAGTTCGCTTGCTGTTAATTTATAGGATCATTTTTATTTATCAGCACATGGTTTGGAAAAATTACAAAAATTAATAAGCGTCAATTTTAAGTTTATTTATCAGAAATTTGTTTTGCTGATTTGCAATTTTGAATTTAAAAACTTTAGACGTATTTGAGTGAAGTTCATGCATTAATAACATGAAAGATCAGCACCACGTGAACGAAGAAGCAGCAGATTCGGCGTTCGAGATTGAAAACACGACAAGTCTCAGTGACTGGCAGATCAACGACCCCACTACAGCTGCTCGCAACAGCAGCTGCAACAACAGCCGCATCAGCAGCAGGAACAAAAATAATGACAGCAACAAAAACAACGACAGTAGCATTAAGAGACAACAATTCGCCAAACTGTCAACAGGTGACGAATCTCAAGTGAATGACGAGGCGTTGGGATCAGCGTTCAACAGGTTCCTTCCTATTTATGTTCAAATCGCACGATTTAATTTTTTTTTTATTTCGTAATGATGACAGTTTGATTTGTTTTAACATTATTCTGAAAAAATTGAATTTTCAATCGTTTTTATAACGCTTAAAAGCGACAACTTTAAAGTAATAAAATTAATCAGTTTTAATTGTAACTGAACTGAAATAAACACTAAATTGAGTAACAGTGAGAACAAACCACGGATTGTAACTCAGATGAAATAATAGTATGCCAGAGTGGGCTTAAAGCAAATACTGAAGGCGATGAAAAAATAAAGTCAAGCAAGATGGATGGCGCATGAAGCAGTTTTTGAAAAAAACATCTAAGAGTGACCTGTAAATTCTCTTTTAATACAATCAATACAATCAAATACAATCGAATTCGATACAATCAAATACAATCAAATTCAATACAATCAAATACAATCAAATTCAATACAATCAAATACAATCAAATTCAATACAATCAATGCTGAGAAAAGAACAGTGCCGAGAAATGTGGACTGTCGAAAAATCTGAAAAAAAATCGAAAATATTTTGATCTTGAGTATATTTCTTAGGCCTCTAAAACTTAATTAATAAAAAGACAAAATAAACCACCAGAGGCATTTGAAATTGCATACAGATGAAAAGAATGGATGACAGGAGTGGAAACATATAAGATGTTCTGGAGTCCTGAACAGAGGAGTGGAAAGTCGAATGCAGAATCACTTGTTGAATGAATGAAATAAATGAACCATTCATTATGAAAACTTGTGGAACACCATTTTAAAATTTTAAATATCTACGAATAAGTGTGCTTCAGACGCATGACATGCACGCATGCCTGTTGTCAGGCAGTGTCGAAATCACATACACACACACAACACATACACACACATAACACACACAATGAAATATGTATGTAACAGCACGTACAACGAATCTGTCCGCATACATTAAGTGTGCCTATATGCGCATGTATGTAGCGTACGTACGTATGTATGTATAAGCATGTGGACACCTGTCGCAGTGACTCACTGTGTGTATCTTATTTTACTGTGCACATCCATTATTGATGTTCATCGACTGGTCTTTGCTTTACTTGTTATTTAAATGAATTCCCTCATCTTCCTCGCGCCATCATAATAATTTCAACGCGGTTAGTCATAAACCTCTAATTGATATTGTGCTTCAATGACTCATCAGCACAAGTAGACTGCTCATATTGATGTACTGCCATCTCTAGAGGCTGCGTGGTGTGGCACATGTCTCAACGAAACGTGGTTTACCGTTCAACCCAATCAAATGAATGACAGCTGAATAAATATAACCTCTTTTTTTCAGTAGACTTTATTTATGAAGACCTTCTTTTGATAATTTTTTACATATTTGACATTTAACATAACGTAAGAATTTAACATATTTGTTTCTTTTTTGGTAAAATAATTTGGTTTAAAATACTAAGCTATAATTTTTCCTGAATTACGTTTATTCAGACTTCGTCACCGAAACTCTAGTGAGTCTTCAGTCGACACAACCATCCAACAACAAGATTTAATCGACCAGATGATGAATTTGGAGAAACAAGTCATGTACGGTCATTAATTTTTTGAAAAATAATTCAACTGGGTAAAAAAACAAATTCAGCTTCTTTATTTAAATAGAGAATAATTGAGAATGTAGAACTGGCTAGAAATGAATAATGTGAGATAATTAAATGATAAGATGTAAATATTTTGTAGAACCTTTGAATGAAGTTGTTGAAAAAAAAAAGAAGAAATAGAAAAATTTTTGATACTTTTAACAAGAAATACTTAGTTTACATACAAAAATGAGACATCAGAATTAAAAATAGCTCACAAACATTCAATTAATATTATTGAAAAGATAACAAATTAAAAAAAAACTTTGACGGCCAATTAATGAATAAATTCTTAATGTCATTCAATAAAAGGAATTCAAAAGCTATGATAGCCAAGTTGATGAATAAGGAGTGCTGCTTCAAAGAAATTATTGAACAAAAAGATTCTCTAATAAAAGAGTTGATTCATAAAATCAACAAAATGGAAAACAATGTCGATAAATCCAGGTTAGCTATATGCATGTTCAAATTTTATTTAAAAGAAACTTTTTGTCAGCGTACGTGTAGTAAATGCAAATGAGCTTTGATGCTCCAGATTTCAATTTGCTCTAAAACAAAAGCCTGTAGTTTGTGTCTATGAAATCATCAGCCTCTACATTTCAATGCTCAATTTTATTTAATTTTAACTGAAATAATTTGAAACTGACAGCAATGAAAACATGTTGAAAAAGAAGTTGGATAGTTTGCAGAATCAGATGCTTTTTCAATGTTCCGAAGTCAAACACTTGACCAAACTGAGAGTTTTAGATGCCCAACAACTGGAGCAACAGAAAAAGTTAGTTTTAAAATTTGGACATTTATTGTTAAATGTCAACCCCCTGAGACATTTTAATGCAATTTTATATATGATGCTTAAACAATCAAGAATTAATAGTATAAGTATTGGCAAGGTACGATCTAAGTTTCATGTATATTAGAAATGTATTCTATCTCCAAGGGCACTTTTAGTTGATATCACATAAACTAGAAATAATTTTCATACACAATTTCCATCAAGAAATAAATGAATGATGTTCAATAATTACTCAATCAAGTTGTGTTCAAATGTGTTTATGTTCTTGGTAACACCTCAATGAGCGCCAGATGAAAAGAGCGCAGTGCAATGAAGGCGCATGATAAGGAGAGCGCAAGTAAAACAGACGCGAGCCACAATAGTGCATTTACTGAAATTTACATTATAATTTCATTTTTGAATGTTCAACTACAGAGTTATCGAAGAACTGACACTGAATTTGGAGTCATGGAAGGATAATTATGTGTATTTGTTGCAGTCATCGATCAGCATCCCATCTGGAGATATCAATGATAAGTGGCAGCTGAAGCTCTATGGAGGAGATGTGGTGATTCAAATCATTCATTTTAAGAGTTCATTAATAATTAGGCAACAGAATTATTAAAAATATTGTAGAAAAATTAAATTTTTATTAGTGATTAATAAAAATCAGAACGTTCGTCAGTATGTACATCAGTTCGAAAAGTCTTCATTTAAGTCCAAGAAAAAAATAGTGAAAGCTGAAAAATGTTCAGTGTATCTAAACTTTTTACAAAAAAGAATTTGTGTTTTTACTTGTCAGATCAAATTTTTTAACTTAATACATGTGATGCCGAAAATAATTATTTAAACAAGAATCATGAAAACGGTTTTTCAAAAAAGTTTGTAACCCAAGTATAAACTTGAAGGCTGCAGACGCGAATGTTTGTTTTACAATTTTGTGACATTAAAGCATATAAGACTAAATTAGCCAAAACATCGAGTCATTTGGGAGTTTTCCGGGGCCTATGTATTTTGTGCAAGTTTACGTTTGGATGAAGCAGTAAATGTTTTTCATTTAAAAATTGTTATTTGTTTATTTACCAGCACAAGCACAGAATTAAGGACCTGCTGGAGAGTGCAAGAATATACAACCCCAGTCTCCCTGACTATAACTTGTAAGTTTACTTGAAAAGTTATTTATATACTCGCGCACAACCGAAATCATGGCTTTATGCTGTAATGTTTCATGATTTTACTACGTTGTAAATCAATACCTCGTTCTCGTTTAAGATCGATATGGACGTTGTTCAAATTAATTACCTTTATTAAACTATCAACACATTCAGGGTTAGCAACATATTTTCGTAGTACGATATGTCGTTCATTTAATCATTAAATTAATATGATAATAAATTATTCTGCATGCATTATTTTTGAATTTTTTTTGAAATACAATATCGTTCAATATTTTGCGAATTCAACATTTTTTCAGTTATTTTAAAATTAGAAATCGTTAACCTGTCCATCATGTATATAATATTGTGATGAATCGATTCAGGCATGTAATCCTATTATTAATAGGCAGCCAGCACACAAGATGATATAATATGATATATATCTCGTTATATCTCGCCATCACAGGTTGCTACTGAAAATGAACCATATTGATCAGTACGGATTCAAACACGAATTTGAGAACGAAGAGTTGTTGTTGCACTACATATGCCAGCAACTGCATCAACACTACAGGTCTCTTTTGGTGGTCACCAGTTTGAAGCATCTTCTAACAACATAATACCAATTGTATCCAATGTATCCATAATAACAAATTAATATTAGAGTTAAAATTTTTTATGACAATCTTACCGGTTGCAGAAATAAATATAAACGTTAACGTTTTCACATAAGCCAAATTTAAAATTAATTTTTTAATGTCGAAGTGTTATTTTTGTTTGACTCATAGAGCAATGCCAAAAATGAATAATAGAACAGTAATAGTAGATTGAATGATTTCAATTCAGGTCTTTGTATCCGGAGCAGCACAACTATTTGATCATGTGGAACGAAATTCTGTCCGGTCCTTCAATGCTGTCCATTCATGCCATTGTAAGTAGAGCTTTTAAATGAGGTTTCACGTTATTTATCTAAACGTTCATGGTGATCACAAATTTGCGTAAGAAAATTTATATCTAAAACAAATATCTTCATCTCATGTGATGTTTGAGCGACTGACTCAAAAATACAAATATTTTGATTTGTATACTTGCAATCCTGTAAAACATCGATTAATGTATAGTTAAATATGGCTTTGAAACAGTTGATATATAACTAATTAACAAACAGTCAGGCATAAAGTTGATGTGTAGGCAGGGCATACCAGTTCAGTACAGAAGTGATATCTGGCGCAGACTTATCTATGCCAAGATATCAGATCTAAAACAAGAGAAAGGAGAGTTCTACTTTGGCCACCTTATCACACGGGCCTACGATTCTCTGGTTGGTCTAGAAACTGCCAACTCTACATGAATATTTATTTTTAATTATTGTAAACATTTTTTTCTGCCATGCCATTAATAAATGTAACTAAAATAATGAAGTTATCAGGGTACTACCGCAAGCAGATTTTCATCGACCTGTTGAGGACCATGCCGACGAACATCAACTTCAGTTCTGCTGATGCCGAAGGGGTTGGGACTTTCAATTTATTTGTTGAGAGTGTTTGTTTTTGTTGAGAAGTTTAAACATTCGGCTATACAAGTAAAAAAATGTGTTTTCTGAGTACAGTGTTGTATGTTTTTAAGAGACTGAGTAATTTAATTTTTGAATACAGTAAAGTAATGTATGAAACTGCGCATTTAAATAGTTAATGGGTTTTGACTCAGCGAGCGTTGATTGCGGTAATCAATAACATAAATCAATTCTTTGACCGTGTTAATTTTATTGTTATCGTTGTTGTTTTTATTATTATTGTTGTTGTTATCATTTTTTTATAGTTATATTTGTCATTTATAAATTATTGGTGATGTGTTGAGAAGCGATGAAACTTGGTTCCAGTCAATAAATTGAAAAATTAACTATAAATAGGTCTGTAAAAATATATCAATAAATATACTTTGCCATCAATGTTTTCTCTTGGACAACTTACAATTCTGAATGGCGAAATCGTTTGAGCAATCCGGTCAGTAAGTTGCAACTGCTGACTGAGATAATGTGAGAAATTATATTCTTCCGTGTCGACGACTTACTGATTGATACATACGGATCATCAATCAATACCATTCACACCTGTTCTCAACGTTGTTAATGATTTTTTGAGTCAGCATATTTAATGTTGCCTCCACTACACTTGTGTTGTTCATTGTTCAAATGAAATCAGTTCACTCACATGTTTCGTGTTCATGTCACTAAGCTTTGATACTGTTGAAAATGTTTAACAAATGTAAACGTTTCAAATGTATATCAGGGCACGCAGCTTTCTTCAAATGTCTTCAAATTATCGGCTGTCAAAGAATGGAATGCAAATATAAACAGATGTAAAATAATAATTATTAATGAGTTGAGTACATTTTATTTCTTGTTCCATTTAAATTCAGAGTGTCTGAGTGTCAAACTGGTTTTTGAGCGAATTTTTTCAATACGGAGTTTGTGTTGTGCTGTGATCTTGAGTCAGTTTGATACCCTACTCATTTTGTTGTAGTTGAATGAGACATTTTCATTCGAGTAAACAACTTGCTAGTTTGCGGTCTAGAGCAGAATGAACAGTAGAACAACCACGTTCAATTTAAATTTAGCGATTTCACATGTCGCCTGCATTCAGATTCGAAAACTAAAAGAAGTGTTGTTAGCATTCAGTTTCCACAACCCGTCAATTGGGTACTGCCAGGGACTAAACTTTGTTGCCTCCATGTGTTTACTGTTTCTTGATACCGAAGATGCATTTTGGTAAGTGGATTTTCTAGTTAGTTTAAATAGTTTGAATCACGCGACAAATTTTTCAAAATTTTTATGGCTTTTCAAAAATAAATAAATTAAAAATTCGACTATTTGTACTTTTAATGTAAAATTTTCAGTAACATTTAAAATGCGACTTTCCAGGGCGCTAGTTGCAATAACAGAAAAATACTTTCAACCAACGTACTTTGACAAAAGTCTGACTGGTGCAAACATTGACCAGGAGGTCTTCCAGGAAATGTTCTCGCAAAAGTTACCGGTCCTCTATGCGCACGTCAAAAAATTTGATCTAGAATTTTCAACGATTACGATCAATTGGTTTCTCGCTCTTTTCATTGAAGTTGTTCCATTTCAAGTAGTAAAACCTTTCTATCATTTCAATTTTTTTCCAGATTCATGAAAATTTAATGTTTCTGCTTATTTAAAATGAAGTATAAACCAAAAATCAAATAATTAAATGCGGTTAAATTATTTGTTAAGAACAAAATTTGTTTTGATTTCCGTTTTACAGACTTTACTGAGAATATGGGATTGTTTTTTGATGGAGGGACCAAAAGTTTTGTTTCGTTTTTCCCTGGCCATTTTGCAAAAACATCAGGAAGTGTTGATGGAACAAAGAGAGGTGCTCGGTCTCTTGAAATGTCTCAAAAACTGCACCAAGCTGCTTCTCGATGTTGACGGACTTGTAAAAGTTTGTGCTTGAATTAAATTCCTTATTGAATTAAATTCTTGTTAGATGTCATACAGATCTTGTAATTATTTTAACCATCTTGTTATTTAACTTAAGTTATAAGTTAAACTAACCATTTTAAACGTGCAGACCGCCTTTGGAGAATTGAAACCATTTCCGAAACGTCATTCCATCACCACGAGGCAGTTACATTTTGAAAAAATTGTTAAGAACAAAAAGTACAACTTGATGATGAGTCACAACGTGAATGCGGCTAGCAAAGCAAGTGCATCGACAGCTGGCGGCCCAGCAGTAACCAGCACAAGCAGGGATTTCAACGTCAGCAACTGCAACGTGAACGTTAAAGATCCTTCATCTGCCAACTACAGATCTGTCAGTGCCAACAGGAGAGATTTAAAAGGCAGAAAATTTAACAGGCAATGCGTTAGTAGCTTCAAACAGCAATTCACATGACTTTATTTATGTTTATTTATTTATGTGTATATATGTTTTTGTGACGAAGCGGTTATCATAATCCTACTTAAATTTGCAACCTAACCAGTCCCTTAACGATAAAGATGAGACATGTTCAGACGTGAACAGCTTGCATTATGTTCATGTGGTTCCCGTCTCTTATAGTAAGTGCAATCAACACACGCACCAACAACAACACACACACACACCAGTAACAACAACACACACACCAACAACAACACACTCACTGTATCAACCAACAACAACACACGCACTGTATCAACCAACAACAACACACGCACTGTATCAACCAACAACAACACACGCACTGTATCAACCAACAACAACACACGCACTGTATCAACCAACAACAACACACGCACTGTATCAACCAACAACAACACACGCACTGTATCAACCAACAACAACACATATTGTGTCAATCGACAACACACGCTCTGCAGCAATGCATTTGTGATTCACTGAAGTTTTATGCTGAAAATAATCAACATTTGTTAGCTGATAACATTTTAAAAGAACTTCTTACTTTAATTTATTTACAAGTTTCAATAACGCTTCCATATATTTTGAACAATTACAAAATGATTCTCCTACAAATGAATGTAAAAACACGCTTCTCCAGATAGTACGTGGGTCGTATCAACCAGCCAGGAATTGTCAAAAGTCTTTGTGCTGAACAAAAACGACAACAGTAGTAACAGCAATAACAGCAACAACAATAACAGCAGCAACAGCAGCAACAAAAAGAGTAACAGCAAAAACAGCAAGTTACCTAGTGCCGAATTTCAAGTAGGGTAAACAATTTCGAGCACGGGTTTTATTTAAGTTTTATTCTCAGCAATAACATAATTTTATATTCCCTTTTAAATTTTATCGTTTTGTCATTACTTAAAGGTAGTAATTAATTCATGTATTTATTTATTTTTATTTTTTAAAATGAATTACAAAAATAGAAGTAACCAACGTGATGTATAAAGCAAACTTTCATAAAAATTTGCCGAATATACTCACAAAACTTTGAAAATATTCGTGCTTGTTTTCTAAGTCTCAGTTTTGACGTTTGGATTTTATGAAAAGACTCGATACATTTAAAACTAAACTTGAACACGTCGAACAGATAAAAAGTCAAATTTTGTGCGTGTGTGCAGTGGGGGACATCATCCTGATCTCGACACTTTCCAAACAACTGTCGGCTTACAACGGCAGGTCTCCAGGGTTGGCTGATCTTACTCACCTTTTAAGCTTAACCTTTGATAGAGAATAAAAGAGTTTTTTGTTCATTTATATATTATATATATATATATTTATATATATATTTATATATATTGTTAGAGCTTTTTATTTCACAAAAAATGTATTTTTTTAAATATAAATATTTAAATCTTTTTTAAGTCTGTTGATCTTTTTCTTCTGCAGTTTCAACTCATTGCTGATTGCGTCACTGGTTTACTAATTACCATAAAATATTAATAGATAATTCACCTGGGTTAAAAAGTTTTACCCAAATGTTTTTCACGAAACCGATGAAATAGTTGTAATTTGTTATGGACGTAAAGCTACATACGACGTACCATGTATCAAATAGGGAGTTGTTGTGGTCCTGCGCCTTGAACGACGCCTCACTGCACATGTGCTCCAAACTGATGCCACAACAAACCACTTTTGCTGTCTTCGCCGCTCTCACCAACGGATCGGTCGCTTTTTTTGAGGTACAACTACTTTCGGCAACGTTATCTTAAACGGCGTTAGCTAACTAGCAGTCTCATGTTTTTGAAAAATATGGGATTAACAAAAAAATACATTGATAATAAATTTTTTGCATTTACCGTTTTGAATTTTTCGAAGTTTTTATTTTTGATCAAAAAATTTGAAAAATTTCAGAAAATTCCATTAACTCCAGCACTCAAGGCTTGTTCATTATTTCTGAACAACGGACCGATATATCTCCCTGTTTGTCACTGCCCGATAACAAGTGTCCTCCTGGTCGACCCGCACGTGTGGCTCTCTTGTGAGAATTACATTCACGTCATCCACTGCGAGTCAGTCTTTCTTCTCTTCATTGTGGCGTTGTTGCTTCTGTCTTCTTTGCTAATGATAACAACATTTCAAGAAATTATGAATATAAAAAAATGTTTTACGTTCATTTAATTCTGAAGCCAATTCAGTTTATAACTATACCAAATGCTAAAATGAAATAACTTAATCAGAAATAAATGAAACGTTTTTTCTATCTAGGTCGTTGAACTTGATAACAAAATTTCAAGTGTCTAAAAGTTGCATCGATTTCGTGAGGATGATGATTTTGTTTGACACCCATCAGCACAACAATCACCAACAACTACCACAGAAAAAACTTAAAAAGCAAAATTTTCTAGCAGACCCGCCAGCACACGTCCAACCACTTCATTTCACTACAACTGCCAACGGCCTTCAACAAAGCAGGGCAGTTTGGCTTTCAATCGAAGGTTTTGTCAATTATTTTATATTTTACAAAAGGACGAAGTTACAAATATCAAAGATTGTTCAAGTATTCATTCTTGGTTGAATTTTGTAAAAGTTTACTTAGCATTTCACCATATTGATAATTTGTTTAAACGCGGTAATTAATTGCATGTTGTAAGGTTCGTCAGTACTGCAAATGTGGCACGCAACGGAGTACACCTGTATGGCTTTGTACGATGTTTCCAGAGGCGTCCACGTCTTGCACTGCAAGGTCTCTCGTCATTTTCTCATCATTTGCAAATAAACAAATGAAATGTACTTCTCGCCTATAATACTTTTTTTGGCTTTCCATTATAATTAGGCTACATTATTTCAAATTATTTTACATTTTAAGCTATTTCTATTTGCTCTTCATTATAATTATATGATTTGAAATGGTTTTTTACTGAAAACAAACAGGAAGAAGAATATTTGAACACGAATCGGATAACGAGTATGTTGTGTGTTGACTCCATGTTGTGGGTTGGCACTGGCAGTGGTTTCCTCTACATTTTCGCTCTTTCGTTCACCTCCCCTCACTACAGACTGGCCAACAAAAGCAAGAACGATCCTTTGCACAAACAACTCAATAAGTTCAAGTTGTTCTTTCAAAACTTTTATTTATGGCAATTTGTGACTAGTTAGTTGAATTATAGTTGTTCCAATTATCGATGTACTCAAAAACACTTACAAAATGCTATACAATTGTTCTGAAGAAATTACAAATAACAAACAATCACACAAACGCTATTCGTTATTTTCTTATCTGCTCCATATTTATTTAGAAACAGCCTCGTGTTACAATTGTAAAATTATCACTGTCCTCTGATTTGATAAGCTGACATTTTTGATTCACAACCCAACATTCAGTATTCAAAAATTTGCCTGATAACGACTTTTTATTGCCGATAGTTTCAGTAAAAAAGTACAATGAATATTTTTATAAAGATTTAAAACTTTTATCGATGTTTTATTCAATTTTATATTATAAATGGGGAGTTGTTCACGGTCACTTAAGCATGCCACTTTCTTCATGGCGAATTGCATACCCAAAATGTGTTTTGTTTTATAACATTGACAAATATTTAAAAATCAATCTTTACGGTCCTCACTAATCACTTGTTTTCATTTTTATATTATTGAAGAGGTTTTGGTAAATATTCTCAAAAACTATTAATAAACATTTTCATTCTAAAATAATAAGAGCAATGATGTTTTTGCATTTTAATTCAATTGAACTATTCTATTTACAGAAAAAGATCCTTCACTTTACCTTTTACAAAATCTAATGTCCTGAATGAAGAGACCTCCAATAGTGATGGCGACTTTGCTGACCAGTTGCCAAACGAAACAAATTTATTTTCATCATCCTTCTCCTCCTGCGAATCGTCATCTTCTGAATCGCCGTCAGCTTCATCGCTGATGCACTCAAAGAAGGTGACTGCGTTTAAAAATCTGCACGCCAGGCTGAGATTTTATTCAAACGATTTTGATTTTCTGGACCGTGTTGAGGAAATGATGACGGAAGAGGAAAATGGCAAGAAAGCTACCATCTACAGAAGCAAAACTCCCAGTCCAACCACTCCTACGGAATCTTCAAACGTTAGAAAGATGTTCAGTTCTTCGATGGATGCCGAGTTTCTAGAAAGCTGTTCACCAGTTGAAACTAAAACTCAATCAATTCTTGGCAATGTCTCTAATAAAAGATACTCAACGTCGGCCATCAGTCACCCGAGGAACAGTTGCTACGCCTCCATGGACGATGGTCTCGACGGCAATTATCTCAACAATGAAAAGTTGCTAGCGTCTGGGTTCAGTAGTTGCTTCTTTCTCGAGGCCAAGTTCAAAATTTCTGAAAAACCCGTCAGATGTCTTGCTCTCATTGAGTAATTATATTTTTATAGATATTATTCATGATGTTTCCATTTGTTTTCTGAGAAAATTTAGCGAACAAATTCTATAAATGCCTGATTATATTAGTACTGGATATTTATCAATTTACCGCAATACAAAGCATGTTAAAAATTGATTTTTAAATAAACTAGTCATATCAACAATTGAACTAAATCAAAATTTATGTAGACATTGAATTTCGTACAGAAATGTTTCAATTGAATGAAATGAATATTTTAATGTAAAAAAAAACTGGCCAGCGCATGTAGCAATTTGACCATGATTAAAAATGACTACATTCAAAACATTTGAAGGCCATTTTAAAAAACAATAAATACTGAAAATTCTTCCTTAGCTCCCACCCTTCCAACATTACAATATGCAGTTGTTCGGGCAATTACGGCGACAAAAATGCAGTGCTCATGTGGAGAAATGTTAAAAAAGTATTTGACATTTTATTAATTTCAATTTCTCAGTTTTTCGTTTTAAAATAGTTTTTTGGTGACTTTTCAAGCCCGTTTTGTCAACATAAACCAATTTTAAGCATAAAAAAATAATTTAGAAAAGAAAATATATAAAATTTTATCGTTGAATGCATAAAACTCAAATGAATCATTAGGAAAATGTCTGGCTGAATGAACCTGTTTTGAATTTTCCTTCAACGAATTCCTCGAATAAGAACTTACAACGCTCTTCATTGGCACCCTCTATGCTCTGCAAAGGTCTCCCCAAAGATCTCTATAGCAGCAGCCAACCAGAAGATACCTGTACAAACGCTGGCAAGGATAATAATAACTCAACAAATCAAAACTCATCCTTTTCATGCTTCAACCGGAAATTATCCTACATACTGCAATCAGGTGATAAGTTTCCTTTCAGTAAGAGTAAGTGATGAGATTATCTTTTGATTATCAAGTAATCAAAGTCTTCCAATCGTACCATTTGTTCATTAACTAACAAAATATCCGTAGAATATTAACTCAATAAAGGTACAATGTAAAAGTTAAACATCGTTGGTACATGATAGATATAGTCCAATTTTGTGGAATAATGATGATTATTTAACAATAGAAGGTAATTAATATCGATGTTAAATAAACTAAGCATGTTTTTCCAAAAAACTTTAACACAAGCTTCAATACATTTATTTTAGTCGAATGTTATTTAAACTCTATCTTGTACAACATAAATTTAAATAATGATTTGAATAATGTATTTTATGATACAGCAAGACATTTTTCAATTGATTGACATCGTGTTCGTATAGAATTTTGTATTACATTATTTTTACAATCCATTCATGGGATAGAAATAAAACCTAGTCAAAAAACGCAAAATTTTTTTGGCGGGTGTTCAAATATTTTTTAGATGTATCGCGAATGAGATTATACACACACACATACACATGTTTACGTATATGGTCTCTTTCCCATATTTACGTATGTACACACACACACAAACACACACGCATACATATATATATATATTGTCATCACACTGTCGCATAACTTCAATTTAATTCAGTGTTCAAAAGGCTTTTTGTAAATTGTTGCTTTTTAAACCATTGAAGATCGTAATAGCCGTTTTTACAAACATTGTTACTGGCGTTTTCATTTTATGTATTTATTCCAAATATAACTGCATAAAAACGTTACATACATTATTTTAGCTTCAATTCGATACTGCATATTTTTACGTGTTTGTTTGTTATTTATGTAAAATTATTTAAATCATGTCTCAAGGTTATGACTGACCAAAGGTTTACTACATGGAAAGGCTTGACATGTAAACAAAACATAAATTTCTATGCATCAAGATTTTTATAAATTTGTAACAAAATTTTTTACGTTTTTACGACATCCTGATTAATTGAAAATTGTTAAATTAAAAAATATACCTACATGCTTCAAACTTGTGTTTGCTGTATTATAATGAAAGATTCCAATGCAACTGCAATGTGAAGATCAGTGATGATGTGCCACACTTGAACTATTTGTCGATTTGACTGCGATTTGTTGGTTGTGATACACCTTCATATAATAAACGTTATTTCATATTCATTTAAATCATTTTTTTGGCAAAAATTATTCAATTAATAATTTATATTTTAGACAATTTTTTCATTGAATGATATAATTTTTCAAAAATTATTCGACTGTATGTATAGAAAATCTGTGTAAAAATATAAAAATTTGCGGCCGTGACTCACTCTTCTTGGATCACTAAAAAACTTTATTGTTTTGTCATGTTAAGTAAACACACTTGGCAAAAATAGGATATTGAAATCTCAGAGTGGTCCTGTCACAAACTCAGTCTTCTTAGACACTATAAAAATCTTTGTTATGTTTAAAACACTGATCGCGCCTTAAATAAATATGAATCTGTCACCGCTTATACACTGGTAAAGAATTCTTAAGAAATTGAAAGGTAGTGTTTCGAAGGCATTTATTAGAAGCTACCTGTTGTATGAAAGCGAAACTTGGGCTTAGCAAAGAGATTAAATAAAGTAGTTATGAGAAAAGCTCTTAAAACGACTTGGGTGGATGTAAGGAAAGCTTGGAATTAAATAATATCTTCAAAGTGGTTTGAATCAAGCGTCTAAGATGGTTTAGGCGTGTTGGGAAAAAAAACGAGTCGGACTGGATGTTGAGCTGCTGAATTTTGAATAGAAAAAAGTTGAGAACCGAAAGAAATCTTAAAAATATAAAATTAAATATTTCGTTGCCTAAAAACAGAAAATCACAGTGTAATGAAATTTTGATGAACAATTCCGTTTACAAAGTCAGCGAATCTTCCAGGATAGACTGCAAGCCAAATGCCTTTAAGCCACGGTGGTAATGAGGAGAGACAACTAGAGCTGTCGTAATGAACGAAAGATTGAAAGAATCTGTAAACTAACTTATATTTTATTTACTTTGGATACGAAAATCGTCTTTACTAATCATTTTTTTTAAATTTGTGTGGGAAATCATATAAAAACTATGAGCAGAATAATAGATTTGCACTAATTGAAAAGCGTTCATTCATTCTATTTTATGTTATTGTGAATGAATAAATATTTAATATATCAATATATACGTCCTACCTCGGGGAACCGGGACTCTGGACGCAAAACGATGATTGATTGAAATAGGAGCAAAGTTAAAAATAGTTAACTATCAAGATTGACCTAAACTCAAATGATTCTTCATAAATTATTATTGAAATCTGTTCAAAGGTTTATATAAAATTGTAACATATATAGTTACGTAAGAGTAACAATAAAACAACAATATAGAATTATATTAAACATTCGGAGATGAACAAGCACAACCTGTGTTTATATTTATACTAAGTTTAGAATTCCATAAATTTGTCGTCAGGTAAAGATCCCACCTTCACACCAACTCCCCACCCCACTTTACCCTGGCTTGTATTAGAGATTAATCATTCTTCGAAGAGAAGAACCATTCCTTCTGAAGAGAAGAACCATTCCTTCTCTCTGAGTAGCATGCTTCCATTCGCCAACAGCAGCATTCGCACATTGCGGGGTTATATATATATAATATATATATATATATATATATATATAATGTATATATATATATATATATGCGCGATTTATTTAACAATTTACAGCTTAAATCCTTATTTATTTTCACACAAGTACTCTGAGGAATCGTTTCCAAAATGATAATAAAAATTGATGACAACAATTATTAACTATATAATAATAACTATAATAATGATAATAATAATAATTGATGATTATAACAATTGATAGTAACAACAGTAACAGCACAAATTGATAACAGTGATAGTCTGTTAAGCGCCTGTAATTGACAGGTGGAAATTTGATTACTTTTGAAAGTTTAAAAATTTATTAAAGTTATTTACAATAAAAGTGATATAATAAAATTAAACTGTCAAGTTTGACTGAAAAAATCAATGCTGGCTACTTCGTGATGATGTTGATTATGATTGCAATATACGAATCAATAGTTATAACAGCACAAACTGATAACAGTGATAGTCTGTTAAGCGCCTGTAATTGACAGGTGGAAATTTGATTACTTTTGAAAGTTTAAAAATTTATTAAAGTTATTTACAATAAAAGTGATATAATAAAATTAAACTGTCAAGTTTGACTGAAAAAATCAATGCTGGCTACTTCGTGATGATGTTGATTATGATTGCAATATACGAATCAATAGTTATAACAGTTATAAATCAATCATGATTTTAAAAAAATTAAATAAATAAATGAACTTGTTTTAAATAGTCATTTTATTTAACATTATTAGAAATCTTTAAGACGAAATAGAAAGTAGTTGATTGATGGTTGATTCTTTGTTAAAACGGTTATCCTCCAACATTGATTGAATGATAGCCCTCTCAAAACCTGGAAACATTTCAACTAGCATATCCACATCTTTCTCTATGTCCTCTGCAGTTGGTTGTGGAGCTTGTTGTGGAGCCTGTTGTGGAGATTGCTGAATGGTACCTTGCTGAGGGTACTGTTGTGATGATGGAATTTGTTGCTGACCAGTTGGGTAATATGAGTACATCGGTTGTACAACACCTGCATCGTTGTTCATTAGGTTTAAGGTTTCATTAATCTAGGCATAATAAATTATTTGTCCAACCTTTCTACATCACGTAATAATAATATAACCATGACTCAGGACCAACAAAAATTGCAAGTATCATAATTTATGATGTATAAAATGATATTTTATAAAAAATTAATTTGTGAATTTGAACCCAGTTTTTTTAAGTAATATGAAGAATAAGAACTAATTCCCCATTTAAGCCCTCCGTGAAAATATTGCAACTCAAAATATAAAATCTGATGAGTAAGATGAAAATAACCAGATGATTGGTAATAAGGGGCCATCATCGGCACCCCAGCAGCAGGAACCATCACAATTTGTTGGGAATGTGGAAGTGGGTAGAGCCCGGGGTTGGCATTCGGTATAGAGTAGGTCAAACGAACTGGTGCCATCTATTGTGAGAACAATTAGATTAAATTTATTGAAATACAACCTTTCTACATCACGTAATAATAATATAACCATGACTTATGACCAACAAAAATTGCAAGTATCATAATTTATGATGCATGAATAAAATAAACAGCTAAATTATGCAAAAAAGAGAAGCATATGTAAGTAAAAACGAAACAAACAGAATGAGAGAAGATGATGTTGATTGAACCCTCCTTCTGCTCTCCCTGCTTTCCACTCAACTGGTACCACTCATCAACAGTCTCACCACTGAAAATCTGCTCTGGTATTACTATGTGGGCCCATGCTATCTTGTCGTCAAGAGCAAAGGAACGCTGGTTGGTTCATGATTCATTATCAATAGATGGTTGGTTGGCTAGTTGCTTCATTCATTAATTACTCATTTTAATGTACTTGCGCAAGATGATTGAATAATGGTAATATAAATAATTTGACCGAATGTACTGGTGTGAGATTAATTGACCGTGCTCATGTAAAATGATTGATCAACAGTTCATTCAGATGAATGTATTAATAGTTGTATACAATTAGAAATGTAAACATACCTCATCAAATATTTCAAGATATATTGAATCTATGCCAGGCTGAAGGGTGCTGAAAAAACATCGTAGTTTTTATGATCATGCATTTAAATTGGCAAAACATTGATACAATCTAATATGATCTATTTAATGGAATTATACAATTTTGATAATAATTTTATAAAATTATGACATAGCTTTTATTAGAAATTATTCTGCTTTTACATTAATTATGAAAACATGCAAATAATTACTACAAACAAATAATTTGAATAAGCATTACATTATGAATACTTTATTCCAAACAGGAGACTTTCCACCATTGACTGCTGTATGAGTTTCAACCACTGAATTTCCGACTCTTAATCTTACATATGGATCCATTTTTGTTAACCCATAATTTTTCACTAAAGTTGCCTAAAGAAATGAATAAAATCAACTCTTTGTTTAAAAAACTTTGAGTATATCATTTAAATTTCTAAAAAATTTAATTGAACTTGTGACATTAATTTTAAAATGCCATACTAATACATCTAGCTAATCTTTGATGCTAATGATACTACTACAAACTTGTACATTGTATTGTTAAGAACAGACAGTACAAATGTACCTGTGCTATTGTAACACTAAGTCTGGAGACTGTTTGAACTGGTTGCTGATAGTTTTGAAATTGAGCATACAAGTTAGGATCATGGTGATCGGGGCCATTTGATACTCTCAAGAAATCATCTGGTAACGTACCTATCATAACCTGTTATCAAGTTTTAATGAGGTGACCAATTAAAAGTCAACCTGATATTTGTTTAACTGTTGTTAAATTATAAATAATACAACTATAATTTAAATTTTTGCAGTCATATCATTAAATACTTTCATATTAATATCAATGAGTACACATCTAGGCTCAATTTTAAGAACAGGACTTGTGTGCATGATCATGTATGTACATGTACATTGCAGTAATACAAATACACTCATGTATATATATGTGTGTGTGTGTGTGTGTGTGTGTGTGTGTGTGTGTGTGTGTGTGTGTGTGTGTGTGTGTGTGTGTGTGTGTGTGTGTGTGTGTGTGTGTGTGTGTGTGTGTGTATTAACACCATCTCTAATCACCATGACTAAGAAATTAAGAAATCTAAGAAGAGCATGTTTACCAATGTTATTAGAAAGGTGCTCATGGAAAAGAAATATAAATTACTATTTAAAAGTTTTTGATTGACATGTTGATGATTGATAAATGTTATTAACTTGGTAATGTAATTGTATTTTTGAATAATTACAATAACACACAATCACAATAAACTTTTCCCACTTTTACACGTTTACACATTTTAATTTAATAAAATGAATTTTTAAACATCTTGGCATAAAAATAAATTTAAACCAAAACCTCCAGCTGCAGTGAGATTTAAATTTAATTTTGAATTGAGAGACTGCCATTTTTTGGGAATAAAGTATGATTTTAGTGGAAGATTTACAATAAAAAAATTTATAAAATATATTATAAATTATAATATTTATATTTTATTTATATAAATAAGTCAAGAAGAATATCAAATTGTTATCAAAATTAATAAAATATATTAAAAAACATGAAGTTGAAATATTTAAAACTTGGAAACATATTTAGCCAGAGAAGTCAAGAATAAAGTAAAAATTATCTTTTAAAAAAATTATCAGGTGTCAGTTGACAGATGATCATCATCAGCATCAAGTCCTGCTGCTGTCTGTTGTAGTCTTGTAGTGTAGATCAAAAATTTCAGAACATTCTATAAAATAACTGTCCGACACGCCAACCTGCTGACGACGATCAGTAGTTTGAACTGTCCTTACTGCAGTTTCTGAATTAACGGCCGACTCCATTTAAAACTTTATTCATGAGAATGACCAAATACAACGCGGAGAAGACGAAAACCCCCAAGAGGTGAAGATAGCTGGTACGAAACAAAAACATGATAAGGGGAATGCGCATGAACATATTAATAATTAAACGTGTGCATGCATTGAATTTGCTGGATATGTTGATATTTTGGCTAGGAGGATATATGATTATATTGGTTAGGAGGATATATTGATATATAAGCTAGGAGGATATATCGATATATAGGCTAGGAGGATATATCGATATATAGGCTAAGAGGATATATGATATAAGCTAGGAAGATATATGGATATAAAGGCTAGGAGGATATATGGATACATAGGCTAGGAGGGTATATAGATATATAAGCTAGGAGGGTATATAGATATATAAGCTAGGAGGATATATGGATATATAGGCTAGAATATTCAGATGTATGTATTGTATGTATTGTAAGTACGTATTGTATGTTCGTGCACTCAAAATGGAGCTTTTCATTTATTTACAATCACAAAAAATATCTGGTCTTAAAGTTTAAATTGTTACAATGGAACAATATTTTTCTGTTTGTCAAGTAAATAATATTACTAGTTCAATGAATGGTTCGTTGTGGTACATCTATCATGTTACTCGCTAGCAAATTTTGAAAATAGTTAGGTTTCTGATCGTTGGTCATATTTTTCTCTTATTGAGTTTTTAAAATTGCCCACCCAGCTCAAGATGATTTGTTATGTGCATATTGAGGCATGACGACCTCCATATTTTCCATCTTTTATGATATCTTCTGGCATTGTGCGAAATAAAAAATATGTATAATTGAATGCAAAAGTTAATTCAGCCGTGTTGTTTCTGTGTTGGAGATTTCAAAAGCGTAGAAGTGCGTGTTGAGTAAAATTGCATGCTACACTTTCACTTTGGTGGTAAAATAGAACCATTTCCGTTCCCATACATTTTCACGCAGTCCACCGAATGTAGCAGTGGCCTGGCCAATTGGTTTATCACTTCCATATCCATTATTTAAAGGCTGCTGTCAAGGTACGCGAATTTCTCAACATGCATTGAATTTTTGTCCTTTTACAGCAATATTTTACAGTTTATATGGTTTTCCAGTTGTGGGCTGATACATGACTTCCGTGCTGTTAACCTACTGATAGCAGTAAGACCAAAATTACCACAGGTCCGAGCATAACAGTTTATTGCATGTTGCATTTCTAATTTTGTGCAGAAAAAAAAATCATTTATTTAATTGCGAAATAAGATAGAGAAAACAATATTTTCTATTGGTTTATAGAAAAACAATTGAAAATTAATAAATATAACACGTGTAGTTGATCGGCCTTTTTAGTTATTCATCAGATTTTTGTGACGCCCGTCTACCAAGTCATGTCAATAAGACAACATACTCTGCAAAAATTAACATTTAAGAAAATGGAAAATTATAATGTTATCTGTAAATTTGATACTAAATTTGAAAATATCAGAATATAAATACAATTTTTTATGTATTTTATTTTATTTTTTACAACGAGTAAGAACTATGAACTATGTTTTCTAAGTATTTGATGAAAACGGAAAAATGCTGTAACACCCACACGGCGTACGTATGATAGTTTTTGATTTGCGGACAGTAAACAGTATTCAGGCGGCACAACTTGTTTGTCTGAATTACGTAACTTCTGGCCTGCTGAGCAGCAATCATGGTGTACCTCAAGACAACATTTTGGGTCCGTTGATGTTGATACACTTACTTAAAAGATTTGTCAATTGCGTCAGCGTTTTTTGATTACATCATTTATGCTGAGAATACAAAAGAATACAAAAATAATCAACGAACTCACCGAAAATACAAATGAAGATTTGAAAGTTATCGTTTTCTAGTTTGAAGCCTAAAACTTTCGATCAACACTTAAAAAAGTCGGGTAATGGTATTTCAACCTGTATAATGCCAAATGGTTTAAAACTTCTGGGCTGGGCCTTCAACTTCAATTAGAAGCTTTCTTCCAAACATCGCATTAAAAATCTTCATAAAAGTCAATAGCCATTACTTTTAAATTACATTAACACATTCATATATACTACTAATAATATTGTTTAATGATATAATATTTAGAGAGAGAATAATTCAGAATGAAAATAAGCAAACAATTAATGGTATACATATGATATATATATAGAATATAACTTGAATATATATATAGAACATATGGAACATGTTATATTCTATATACTTGTATATAGCAAACAAGGCGATCATCTTCTTCAATTTAGTCTGGCGGTAGTTAGCTGTATCTCAGTGGGTGTGCAATTTTTTTTCTTTTCAAAATAATATTTGTCTCTTATTTGTAAATAAATATAGTATAAACAAATTAATTTCACTAGAGCCGGGTAGAAGTTTATTTTAATTTTTAATGATTATTTATTAAATGTTTTCCTACTCTTGAAAGACTCTTCTCTAAGTAATTTAATATTTAATTTATGAGTTTTTTTTAGAATAGCAGAGGCAGAGATTAATTGAGATTTTCATTTTGAATTTTTTATTGATTTTAGTTAATTTAAAATATCAATAAATTTTTAAAAGTCAGTAGTATCTGGATATCAGGTTTTCACAATTGTTTTGCTCAATGCAATCTTAATCTTGCCATTCTTGACTTGAGAGTAACTCTACTAAAAACTAAACTAAAGCAATATACTTGACTTAGTAAATTTAATTTAATTTTTAAATTAAAAAAATTAAATGTAGGTAAAGGTAAACCGAAATTAAACAATATAAAAAATAAATATTGAATTCATCTGTCACAAAAGTGCCTTGTCAAGTTCTAATCATTGTTTCTTAACTTTAGTATAAATTCTAAGAAGGTTTAAAATTCAATATTATAAAAATAAATAAAATGTATAACACAGAACAGTACTTTTGAGATTTCAGATTGTTAAGTTAAACTCAAATTAAGAGATTGTCTGTTAAGTTAAACTCAAATTAATATTAAGAGAATGTATTTTTTTTACAGAATAATAGAGATAGAATAAATAGAATTAATAGACTTAACTTAATTTTTTATTATTTGATATATTTGGCTTAGACTTTTAATTTATTATAATTTGATATATCTGGCTTGTGATAGAATAAATAGAATTAATATACTTAATTTATTATTATTTGATATATCTGGCTTAGACTTTTAATTTATTATTATTTGATATATCTGGCTTGTAATAATAATTCAAATTCAAGTATTATAATTTTTTATAACATGTTAACAAACTAATTTATCATCAAAAGATTAATTCCCATTTCATTAGGATACTCTGATGTCTGATAGAACATATTAATAAATGAACTTCATAGAAATATTTATAACAATATTACAAAAGCTGTTTAATGAATCAACTATTCTAGTTTCCTGTCTATATCAACTATTGCTTTGTGGACATGTCATAAGATATATAAAATTGGAAAGATTAGATTTTTTATACAGTGATGCACTTTAGTGGAAATTGAGATCAAAATGCCAAAACACCACATCATTTCTGACTAGTTAGAATAAAAATAGGTAGCATGTTTATGTTTGGTGAATTGAGCAAAGTGTAGATTGTGGGGAACAGAATTGTCATTTCTGACTAGTTAGATAGAATAAAAATAGGTAGCTTGTTTATGTTTGGTGAACTGAGCAAAGTGTAGATTGTGGGGAACAGAATTGTTTGATGAAATGTTAATGACAAAAAATTATTGTAACATCTTTTATAGTTATAGTAATTTAACTTTTTTAACTTCACAGATAATGAATAGTTATCAGGACAAATCAAGTAAAGAAGCTTTTATTTGTTATAGATAATCATCTCTTTTACTTTATTTACTGCTACCTATTCTTAAATTTTATTAAATTTATATTGATTAATTTATGTGTAGTTAAATATTATTTGTTAAATTCATTCGATGACCTCCAAAAATTTCATGTCAGCAGTTGGTTTGCATATAAATATTATGTTATTAGGATAATAATAATATTAATAGTTGATATATTATTTAATTTAAATGGAAATAAGCAGGCATGTGGGTTATAACACCAGAGGAAAAAGCAAAGAATGATAATCAATTTTACATGATGAATCCTGTTGCTGGCTATCTAACAGGTTTGTTTATTTCACAAATCAATCTGTTGTTTTTTGCTGACTTTTTACGATTCGGTTTCTGACTTATTTTGAAATCATGTTATCATTTTTTTTTTTACATAGATTTTCATTTGTGCCAACAAATGTTTACAAATTGTATATCTTTTTTAGTGATGTTTTGAAATGTTCATCATTCAGGTGAACAAGTGAAATCATTCTTCCTCCAGTCAGGACTACCTCAACCAGTTTTAGGCAAAATATGGTCAGTCTATAGTTTTTTTTCAACTTTTAACTTATATTTTTATTAATTATTAACTCTGAATATATACTGTTATTATTTATTATTATTGAATGTTTTTGTTTCATTGAAAATTTCAGGCAGTTGTCAGACTTGACTTCAGATGGAAAAATGGACAAAAGAGAGTTCTCAATAGCAATGCATTTAATAAAGAAAGCACTGCTCGGTTTTGAGATACCGCATGTCCTTCCTCCTAACTTTCTGACTGATGTTGCAGCAGGGTCTGTTTTCAATCCTGGCATAATGAACGCCAACATGGTTGGAGGCTTGTATGGGGCAGGTGTGCCTCCAATGAATGTTGTCTCTTTCAATTCTGCTACAATGCCTTATCCTACACTAGGTCAGCACCACTACATTGTTTCCTGTTTTAAAATTTCATTGTGTTCTAGGGAAATTATTATTGTCTACAAATTTGTCATTGTTTTCAAATGTGAATTGTTTTTAGAGAATGGTTAAAATGTTTTCTAATAAATTTAATATGTCATTTTTCATTGTGCTATATCATAAAACTTAAAAATGAACTATTTTTTCAATTAAATTAGTTCTGGTTTATAATTTTTATATTTGTTTTTTAAGCTACAGCCAATAGTTATTCAACATTGAACAAGTATGTTTTTCTTTCTAGTTCCACGTTAAAATTTTTCTTTTTTTTTATTTTTAAAATAAAGTTTAACATTTTAGTTTTTTTAGTTTCCAAAGTTTGACTTTGAATGGCCATTATTAAATTGTTGTTGAAAATTGTGAAGGTCTGCCACTCCAACACTGCCATCATCGTCATCATCGGGTGAGTGGATCATCACCCCAGGGCAGAGGTTGCGCTACAAACAGATGTTCAACAACCATGACTCACAACATAAGGGCTACCTCACCGGTTTAATAATTTGTTTAACTTTATTCATATTTTAAAAGTTAATTTCAGCATTTTTTAGTTATTTTGATTTAGTTGGACGTGATTCTCACTGTTAAGGATTTCGATTTACTGTTCTCTTTTTTCGTTGCCTCATTAATTGAATGCAACTCATCCAGGCTTGGAAGCCAAAAGTTTGCTGTCCCAATCAGGTCTCACCCATACAATACTTGCCCAGATATGGTTAGCATCCAAATTTATTAAGTTTTTTCATATTTATAGAATTAGTTTAGAAAGCGTTTCATTAAGATGCATTTCTCCAGCCCTACCATTTCTAGAGACCCCCTCCCAGTCACACATTTTAAGGAGAACCAGCACTAACAAAAATTGGCACGGCACTAACGTAGCACTAACGCACGCTACTTCAAAGTTTCGAATCTCTAACGGCACTTTTGAAAAACAAAAAAAAACATTTCCTGAGCCTCCCAGCCATATCTCTTTTGGGGGACCAGCACTAACGGAAATTAATACGGCACTAAACAGCACTAACGTAGCACTAACGATACTGTGAATTTCGAATTTTTAGCGGTATTTGGGGGGCTATCATGTTATGAGCTCCCCAAACTGTTCTCCGTACAGGGGACCAGCACCAACGAAAGTAACGAAAAATACGGCACTAACGGAGCACTCACTCCACATCCAATTTCAGCCCCATTTTTCTAGTTGAGGGGCTGGGGGGAAATGTACCTGTTTTTGTATTGCATTGAAATGTAACCAGTTATTTTTATCAGGTATATCATGTCAAGGCCATCTGTTGAATTAAACATTTTTAAAATCAATAACTTAATATATAAATATTCGTGGTTGTACAGTCAATCTTGTTTTTTTTCAAGGTGTTTGGCAGACATAGACACAGATGGCAACTTATCTCCAGATGAGTTTTGTGTAGCAATGTATCTTATTGACCAAGCTAAATCTGGATTTCCTGTGCCTGCAACGTTGCCCGTGGATTTGGTGCCTCCATCGTACAGGAGAACCAGGAGGATGAGTGAGAATGTTCACTTGCCTCAAGTCAGCTCCATGCCTGGACTTTCTTCTTCTGCCGGTCGTTTGTTTCAATTATCTAAATTAATTACACGCGAAACATCGCTTACAAAGTGGCTTCTTGTATTTAACTTTCACTCACTTATTTGATTTCCTTATTGTTGCCCATGCTGCTTGTTTTGTAAAAATGTAAAAAAGTTACATAATTCTTTTTTTGCAACAATTTACAGTTAAACCAGCGAACAATAAATTTAGTACAAAATTTCAAGAGAAAATTCTACAACACTGTTTTTCTATTGTATTTATATGTATATATTTATATGACTTTATAACAACGGTTCCTTTCAATGGTACTAAAAACTACCAAACTTCACTTTTTATGGCGTGGAACATGTAGGAGACACTAGGACATTCATTAGTAGTTATTATAGATATGTCTTCTACCTGGTTTCTCATCTTGGCAGTGATCACAAGCTATTTTATTTAAATTAGTTTCACCATTTTACAAATTTAATATATTTAACATGCATTGAGTTGTTTATTATTTGGTGAGCATAAATTAATTCTTGATATCAAATGAAGGCATGCAAGCAAAGAAATCCGAAATGTTTGGTGAATTGGGTAAAGTATCTGGTTCCATTGCTAGCTCATGCACTTCACCTGATACAACTTCCAATGTCAGTGAACTCGAGCCTGCTAAAATAAGTTTGTTCTGCATTTATATTAATTGTTTAAAATTATGGTTTCACGTTTTGTTTTATGAAAATTAGATTTTAATTAAGTTTGAAAAATAATGAAAATAATAATGGAAAGTTATTTATATCTGTTGCTTCAGTAACATTTGAGGACAAAAGGAAAGAGAATTTCGATAGGGGTCAGGCAGAACTTGAGAAGAGGCGAGCCCAGTTGAGGGACTTTCAGATGCAGGAGTCTGAGGAGAGGTTGGCTGCTGAACGAGCTGAACAGGAGAAGAAAGAAAAATTGAGGTGACTCACTCATTCGCTAATGCTGCATTCAATCTCCATCTCACATATTGCTCACGTTTGATAGTTTTATGCTGGTTGCTTAAAACATTTTTCCTCACTATTTTGTTCTACTAATTTGTTAATAAAATTGCATGTTATCAGGCGGAATCTTTTAAAAAATTTTATATTTCTGCCGCTCATTGAATATTAATGCACATACTGATTCAGATTAGAGCAAGAGTTAAGAAAGCAACAAGAACTGGAGAAACAATTTGAGAGGCAGAGGCAGATTGAGATGGAGAAGGAGGAACAAAGGAGAAAAGTTCTGGAACAGAAGGAGGTCTCTTTGGTTCATTAAATTTTAATTGCAGATCTTTCATTTGAGCAGTATTGATAAATTTTGTATAAGAGATGTAACTGTAATGGATTTTTTGAAACGGCTTTTCGAGCCATCAGAAGTTAAAATGTTTTTCGTGAAAGTCATCTTAAAATATTTAAATGAATTCATCATGAGACCAGGCTGCAAGAAGAGAATTAGAACGACAGAGGCAGCTAGAATGGGAGAGACAAAGGCGGGATCAACTATTGATCGACAAGAACAAGGAAGAGTCGTTCGTGGATGCACTCAAACAAGAAACTAGTCAAATGAAACTGCAGTCTGAGTCTATGGTAACATCTTACTTTCAATACTATTACGCCCTTTTTTTTTATTAATTTTAGTGCTGTTAAAATTTTTATTTGATACTACTTTCCAAGTGGTTGAAGTAATGATGTTCAGTGATGAGGGCTGTTAATTTTGAGAGAAATCATACTGTTTTCAAACTTTTTGAAACCCTTTGAAGCAATTGCCAAAATGATTAACACTGATTGCATCAGATAATATGACATAATTTATCTGCATGTTAGTCGGAAAAGAAGCAGGAATTTTTGAAGAAAATTGAACAGACGAAGATTTCAATAAGTGACATGTCGAGCACCATTGATTCTATGAAGCTGCTCTCACTGTCCAAGTCAACTGAGATTGATGTCATTTCTAGTGAATTGGAGGTTTGTTTGAAAATGTATCGTCGTTGTTGTTTCAATGTTGTTGCTGTTGTCAGTGCTGTTGGTTTTGTAATGTTATCATTTATTCCAATAACTTAGTTGCTTTTTAGTATGTCATTTTCACAATGTAATTATCGCTATTAATGTTATAATGTTGCCTCTGTTTTAAGTTGATACAAAGAAGTATTGTATTGTATGTAATTATAAAGTAACAAGAAAATGTTCTAATATTATGCAATGTACATAATTGTAATTTAGCCAGAAAATGTTGTAAAATTATTGCAATGTACGTACTTGTAATGTAACAAGGAGATAGAGATGAAGTTAGTAGCAGTTCAACAAGAGAGCATCAGGCTTATGAAGCAGAGGAACACTCCGGATCACGCTAATGGTATATTATGACGGTTGTGATAATACTATCGCTGATGATGATGGTGATGTTGGTTTCATAATGATAAGGATGGTGACGATGATAAGTAATGAGGTTGATGATGAAGATAATGGTGTATTATTTATGGTGATAATGGGAAGTTTTGCAACAATAGATTATGACAGCGATGATTATTACTGATAAGTTCTGTTCATGTTGATGTTCAATAAAATTGTCATGTTGAAATGCGAGTTTAAAATTTAAAGATCACATACAAGCGTTCCAATCACATTCAGTTATAGATCTTGTATCCTATTTTAAATTTTTATACGTTATTTGTGGCGAAATTGATGAATCAATTATATTTCAATAAACTGTCTACATCAGTGGCTGGTGTAACATTAAGTACTAAATGTATCAATTAAGTGAGGTTTTTAAATTGAGATGATGATTGATTTTCATGCGTTTTGAAATGAAACGAATGATGGAATATATGAAGATGAGTCGTGGCAGTCGTTGAGGAGGGAGAGAGAGGAGCGGAAGAATCGGATGGATGAGTTGAAGAAAAAGTTGGAAATTGTGGAGTCTATGTGTGAAAGCAAAGAGAACAAAACGAAGCAACTGCAGTCTGAACTCGACGTATGTCTGTCTGTCTGTCTTTCTATCTGTCTGTTTGTGCATTTGATAATATTTTGAACCTAGACTCTTTATTGTTTTCTGTAGCCATGTGGCTTTGTTTGGTGTTGACAAATTTTTTCTTTCTCATATTTTCAATAAATTTTTCATATCATCGGCTTCGTTTATAATGAAATATCTGCCATGTTTACATGTTATTAAATTTTTTCTTGTTTAATTTTTTTTACAATTTGATCTTTATTTATCTTATTTATTCATTGTAGGCAATTCAACCAGCTCCAGACAAGAAAACTGACAGTCAATATAAAAGTGCATTCCATACAGAACAGTTCGAAAGAGGTCCAAGTATTTTCAAGTGAGAACTTTTACCTTTCTTTTAAACCTTATTAATTTATTACTTAGTTGTGCATTTTTTGACAGACATTCACATGTTAATTTTATTATTTTGAAGCATCAAACTTCCACTTCCACATTAGTTTTCATAATTGTTTAATACATAACTCCTTACAATAGAATCTTATGAATTTTTTTATTATTTTCAACAGCAATTTTGAAGATTCTAAAGGAGGTAATATTTTTCAATTTGAAAGAAAAATGTTTGAAAACCTCAGTTATCTTAATCTTCGAAATGATCTTTTCTTCTTTGCACCTTCAATGATTTTTCTTTAATTAAAATCTTTTATATATAAATGTGCTACCTTTTTTTTCAAATTTTCATTTCAGAAAATCCTGAGATAATTAGATAGGAATCGTTCTATTCTATGTGACATTTCTATATTAAGGACATTTTATATTATGAAAATTTCATACTTGAAAATTTTAAATCATTTCAGATTCTTTCATTGTAAGTTAAAGATGATGCAATTATAACATAATTTATTAATCTAATTGAAGCTCTAGGTTAATTTTAGAGGGATTCTACAGTCTCCTAAATAAATAGAAAGAAATTAACGATATCATTAATTGCAACTTTTTCATAATTATTTTCAGCATTTACTTTAATAAAGAAATTCTTATATAATTACCATTCATTTCCTCCATAAACTCGAATGACTGCATTTGAAGATGACAAGCTTATAGGAGGAGCTCCATCAGTGACAGCTGCTAAAGTATCTGCCAACATCTGGGAAGATGCATTCTCAACAACTGCTCTCTCGTCCAAATCATTATTTGATGACATCACGAACCAGACTGCTGCTGCTGCTACTGAAGCTGACACTTGGTCGCACGCTTTTAATAACTCTGGTGTAACCTTCAACTTTTTTCTGTTCTGTTTTTTTTTTCGTTTCTGTTTTAATGTCTTATGAAGTTTAAAGATTTAAATAATTTTATAGTTAAATTTTTTGTAAGTACAAGATTGCTGATAAGCTTGTTTTTCTGCAAAATTGAGTAACTAAACATACGACTTTTATTAGGCGCATAATTTTTGTCTCAAGGTTGAATAATTTAATGACTTACTCGGCGGCTCGGTGGTGTAACGGTTAGGGTGACTGACTTTATTGATGCAGTATCCGAGTTCGACTACAAACGGATCACTGTTTATCACGTGCAAGAAGGGTGTGATGCGTTGATTCACGTGTAATAATGTGCCTCTGTCGCTTGCCATGGCGCTATATAAAATGACATTATTATTATTAATATTACTATTATTATTATTATTATTAACTCCTTGTAAACATAGTTGCAGATAAAAAGGACAGCACTTCCTCGGCACTTTGGACCAGTTTTACAGATGCATGTAACTAATTTTAATAATGTTATTTTACATTCTTTATAACATTTTGTCAATTTTGAATCCTGGTGATAAATGAAAATAAGTTTGCTTTTAAATTAGTCTACAGAGTTTTCTAATGAATAGTTAATTATTTTTATTGGCTTAAAATGATATCTTAATAATTTTCAGTTGATTTGTTTACTTATATTTAATTAGTTGATAAAATATTTGAAGCAGCGGCACAAGACGCCAGCCTTTCGAGCACCTGGACAGCTGACTTCAACACCTCATTCGCTCCATTCACCAACAGTAATCTATTTCTTGACATCATCATTTCGTGTTTTCAAATTTCTGCATTGTAGAGCCATCTCTGATGGTTTATATTTAATTCATTCAAGTTGATAGGATGAAAATTTTAGATCACAGATGTTAAATTATAAATAATGTGACAATTCAATCTTTCTTATATAAAAGCAACTAAAAATTAATTCTAATGAATTCCATTCAACCTAATGAAAAGCAGCAGTCTCATCATCTTCCACAAGTGGGATGGCCAAGAAGTATAAGGCGCTGTATAGGTTTGACGCCAGAAATGCTGATGAGTTGTCTTTGATGGAAGATGATGTCGTGCTGGTTGGTTGATGTGTTCACCTTATTGTTCGTACTCATGAATGGATGTGGTGATGGATGTTCTCATGGTGAACAATTGATGGTTGAGAATACAAATTAACTGATGGCTTCAAAATTCGTAAATGTAGAATTTATATGAGGAGAGTTTTGTGAATTGAAAAGTATGTGTTAGCCTATCTATATATTATCTTATCATGATAATATTTTGTGTATCTATGGATCATTTTATTTTTTTTATCATTTTACAGTTGTAAATATAATTTCAATATTTAATTCAGTTTTTACTAAAATTTATACGGGTATTATTACAATTATTATGAAATGTTTAGCAGTTGATGATAAATTCATTCATTTACACACACCACACACACACACCACACACACATACACACACACACTCAGGTTTACAATTGTGATCAAGTGAATGCAGAACCTGGCTGGCTGATAGGCAGGATGAACGGCAAAGAAGGATGTTTCCCGGAGGCATACGTTTCCTATGTTGGTGATATTTTAGACGCAACGGCACCATCAACATCTATTTCTTTTCAAAAAGACAGCACAACAATCAGCGATTCCTCTGACAAATCTTTGTTTGACAACGCATTCACTTCTGCATTCAACAGCTTATCAGCTCCAAATACTGATTTTCTGACTTCCCCGATATCGACAACATCTGCTACAACAAAACCATTAACAACAATCAAACCAAGTTTATTTGGGGCAATGTCACAAAAGAGTGATGAGAAACAACAGGTTGTGACAGATGAGAAACATCTTCTCAAGTCGAACTCTCCAGCCAAAAAACTTTTAACGTCTTCTGGAGTTTATCTGTTAGTTTGTCAATAATAAAAAAAAGTTGATTTTATATAAATTCTATTGAAAATCAATTAATGGTTGCATAGTTATTTGTTTTTGAAAAATAATTGTTGACAGTTCTCAGAGTTCGTTGGTGAAGGGCAGCGGCAGCAGCACAACTTCAGATGTCTCGTTGGTCTGCATTCTTTGGCAATTCAATATCTTTTTTCAATTAAATTTTGTTACAGAACGTAGTAGGATTTGTATAAAATTAATTTTCGTTTGCAGAAATAGCAATACACTATTTTTCACTGTATTGTCATTGTGTTGTCGAATGCTTCTTCCAATACATTTTCATTTAACTGACTATCTTGTTTGTATTTGTTCGCCTCAGTCTTTCTCACCCACGTTTATATGACCGCCCTCTCAATTACTCCTTGGCAGTCTGGAGGAACATCGCTGCATGTGGGTGCGACCTCAGTAGCTGAACTGCCGCTTCGAGTGCAAGCAGTGTATCAGTGGCTGGCCAAGAAGGACAATCATCTCTCCTTCAGCAAGGGCGACATCATCGTTGTGCTCAACCAGCAGGACACTTGGTGGTTCGGCGAAATTGCTGGGAAGGTTGCCGCTTGTTTGGGTTTCATTGTCATTAGTTTGATTAATGGATATTTTTTTTAAATTGAAAGCGTTGTTAATGTTTTTTTTATGTTTATTACGTGTGTTCTTTTCCTGATATTATTTCATTGCATTTCTATAGACTGGATGGTTTCCTAAATCGTATGTGAAGGCGTTAGGAGCCTCCGAAACACCATTCCCTCTCAATCCTCCAGAGTTCGTTGCCCTATCTCTCCTCTTAACATGACTTCAATTTTTAACATTTATTTCTAAAATGTATTCCAAAAATAGTTTCTGTTTTTAAATTGAATGAAGTATTAAATCTCAAACGATTAATGATCTCAAAATCATTAACGCTAAAAGCTAAGATTATTATTGCTTAATTAAATTGCCTATCGATTCGTAATTTGTAAATTAGAAGGCACATTTGAGCAACTAAACTAACTAATTAATGAGTCAGTAAACAGTAAGAACAACCCATGCTATCTTCACCAGGGTTGTGGCTGAATCCTACGAAACACTGAATGGAGTGACCCTGCCACAAGACCCCACTACATCCCTCCCTCTCACTCCACCTTCCGATCTGCCGGAACGACATAAGTTAGATTTTGAGGGTGCCCAAGATGGTCTTGGATCAAACATTTCTTCCATTGCTGCTGCACCGGTAGCACATCTGGAAGGTAACCACCAAGCAGGCATCTTCTGAATCTTATCACCATTGTTTTATAAATGTTTCACTTTTTAGGTATCGTTCCCGATATGCTAATCACGTCGTCATTATCGAATAAGTTTTAATCAACTATCATTAAAGTTGTTAAAACATTACAGTTGTTAATTACGCGATCTTGTTTTTTGAATGGCTCACAGAGTTCATAGTGGTGGCAATGTTCACGTACAATTCAAAGGAGCCTGGAGATCTGTCGTTTGTACAGGGCGATGTTTTTCCGGCCCAGAAAACAGATGATGACTGGTGGACTGGAACAATAAATGGAGTCACAGGCATCTTTCCTGCCTCCTACGTTCAAGAGATGGAGACCATGGTTAGTTGATTTCAGTTTTGTTGTTGTTGTTGTTGTGTAGTATTGTTGTGCAGTATTTTTGTGTTATGTTGTCTTGTGTTCTATTGTATTGGCGTTCGTGGTTTCTGAAGTGAATAAAATTGGTCATTCTGATTAGTTGATTGTTTGGTTGGTATGTTCGTAGATTGTTGTTTGTTGGTAGGTTGGTTGGTAGGTTGGTTGGTTGGTTGGTTGGTTGGTTGGTTGGTTGGTTGGTTGGTTGGTTGGTTGGTTGGTTGGTTGGTTAAATTTCAATTAATTTGTTTTTTTTCTATTATAAAATTGTTATCCCTTTTTTTATTTTATTTATACGTAAACAATTCAAGCTATCTAAAAAAATTTTACATAATCTTCTTATATATTTTATTCTAATTTTTATTTTCTAATGCATGGTTTATGACGTCGTTGTGTTTTGGTTATTGTTGTTGTTGTTGTTGTTGTTGTTGTTGTTGTTGTTGTTGTTGTTGTTGTTGTTGTTGTTGTTGTTGTTGTTGTTGTTGTTGTTGTTGTTGTTGTTTTTTAAGTTTTCTAATCACCAGCGAGTAATTAATTTTTGCATCTCTACTTTTTGGACAATTTTACTCAACACGAGTTATGCTTTCTTAATTTATTGACGATCCTCTTAAAGAATAGAACCAAACCACCCCGCCCAGACAAAGCACCACTGGTGAGATTGATGACAGTGATTCGTCACATGCTTTGTATCATTCCACTAACTTCTGCTTTCATGCTTGCTCACCATTTTAATCATTTTAAATTATAAAGGATGAATTTATAGGGCTGAAAATTGGTTGCGTTTATATACACTTTTTTTGAAAAAAACTCGGGACATCAATAAAAAAAATAATTTATCATACTTAATGCTGAACATTAAAAAATTAGATCGTCACTTATATTTTTACTTTTAAAATATTTCACTCAGTTGGTAAGCAGATTTTTGTGTCCATATTTGTCATCATCACGACAAACATGTTGGTTGTCTAAGAAACGTTAACCACGTTTGCTCGCTTACATTCATTGTGGGTACGAAATCTTTTATGGCGTAAAAAATTTGTAGACATTTTAGTTTTACGGTTTTTTACATTTTGTGAAATGAATGCAACTAACTGTCGTTGGCATTTAATTCTGACCAAGAGGGCATTGAATGGTGCGATCGATTTACAGCCCTAATATATTCCAAATGTTTTTTACAAATATTCAATGTAAATTTTTTAAAACATTTGATGATTCATATTACGATCAACCAATCAATCAGTCAACCAGAATTTTAGTTTTTCATTCCATAGTTGTTATTATTAATAGAAATAATTGTTGAAATAATTGCACTCATATGTTGGCTGACTTGACGAACCTAGGTTAATTCCTGGACATGATGAGATGATCACTCTCCTCACATCATCAGCACCATCACCTTTCATCATACAAACCGCACTTGACGTACATAACTGTCTGCATTCATATTTTTCATGAACATACCCCGTTACACTAACCTTTTAATTAGTACTCGTTATCCGTTAGAACTAAAAAATTGTTTTTTAACGTACCTCTGCTTATATTTCAAATTAGTTTAGAACAAAAATATTATTTGCCCATCTGTACAATTACATTGCCTGTACAAATACGTTAGTGTCAATTTATCTTCATGACGCTTAATCAATATTGACCTTTTTTGTTCTTCAAAGGTTCTTCAACATTTTTACAAACGGCTTTTCATATTTTTCAATTTTGGTTTCACGACAAAACTTTTCATCTGTTTGGGGTTTTTATTCTCTGGTAGTTTTTTCGTTATATTATACAACTGTTTGCAGTTATTCCAATATAAACTTCCTCTGCAGTGTTTTGTTTGTTAATTTTAAATGAGATAGGCTTATTTTTAACTTTCCACAGAATGCAAGTAAACTATCAGACAACAAAAAACCAGGTATTTATCAGCATTTTATTAGATTATTTTCATTTTTCGTTCAATTTAAAATTCCTCATTGAAACAAATGGGTAGCATCATGAGCGAGGTGGGGTGGCAATGATGCGATGCACGAGATAATAATTTGGATGGATGAAGTGGCTTCAATTTTTATGATGAAATGTATTTGTGGTCAAGTAGGAATGATGCACGAGATAAAGTTTTTGAAAGACTGGTTACCATTTTTGAGATGTAATGTATTTATGGCTTCAAGAGGTTCAATGAACAAGGCAAGTGATTTATTGATTTATTTCTTTTGAACAAACTTGGATGGTGTTATTTTGTAAGCTCCTAATGGAGCCTTTAGACGAAGATGAGAATGAAATGTGGGAGATATAATGGCTTCAATCTGTTGAATTTCGATGAAATTCAGAGGTGGCCTCAGTCATAGCGGCCTACCCGGCGACGGGGCCCGAGCAGCTGACGTTACAACCTGGTCAGTTGATCCACGTTCGCAAGAAGAGTCCCAGTGGATGGTGGGAGGGGGAGCTGCAGGTCTGCTTCTTCATCTATCCTCAAATTAGATGACATTTTGTTCATTAATTAACATTTCACATTAATTTAAATTTTTATTTGATTAATTTTGTGTCCATTGAAACAAATCGACTAATTTGTTTTATTTAATCAAAAATTTTAAATACTTTAAATTTAAAATCTCTTAAATTAATGAGTTCATGAACAATTTCTCGTGTTTAAGAACTGTATAAGTTTAACTTGCGCAAAGGCTAAAGGTCAGAAGCGTAAAGTTGGTTGGTTCCCAGCAAATTATGTCAAACTGCTCGGCGCTGGTTCAAGTCAACAAATATCTCCTGTCAATGCCTCTGCTGTTTCCTCTTCTTCTGCGGTTGGATCCGTTTTTTTTTCTTCATTAAACGTTTCTCTTGTGAAGTGTTATTTCATGTTTGTTTGCTTATTTTATAAACATTTAGAATTTTTTTTTGTTTAAATGATTTAAAAATGAACTCATCAGGTAACTTTTGATTCACAGGAGCAGAAGATGGACAAAATTCATCACGGTACTTAACTGAGCGCGTTCAACGAAATTAATATTTTCCATACTTGTTTTTAATTTCATAGCTTTGTAAGCCGTTATTAACTTCCAAAAAACACCTGCAGATGAAACAACGCGGGCAAAAGAAAAGGTGGTGGCCATGTACAACTACCAAGGTCAGGCTGACGATGACCTCTCATTTGAGGAGGGTAACGTCATCAACTTGATCGAAAAGACGAATTCTGATTGGTGGAAGGGAGAGTTAAATGGAGCTGTAGGCATCTTTCCAGCCAATTACGTTGCAATAATTTCCAATTCTGGAAAAAATGCTCTCAACTAAATTTCTTTCTGTGAGTCATTTATTTTGTGCAATCTGAAATATTTATAGAGCAACATTAGGATAGATGTACGTACATGCGTATTTTGTTTGATAAAATTAAATGATTGTGATGATGTTGACGATTATTATTCTTACTACATTGCAGGCTCTCGTATTTCGTTAATTGCATGAAAATGAAATCAAAATTATTTTTCCTCGTCTCGTGGCCGCTTGAATTTTTTTCATTTGAAAAATAAGACACAATGTGACGTAGAGTCATCAACACATTAACTTTAAAATTAAATACATTAATAATCTTTTGATTTTACTAACTTCTACAATTATTTAAATGAATTTTGATTTTAATGACTGGTTTTATTCAATTAGTTTTAACATTTTGTTAGATATTGAGATATTTCGTTGATTACTTACGTGAAACTAGATATCAGTTAAATTATTTATTGTCTGTTGTACATGATTTCATCACGAATTTTGTGATTGTTCTTTGGCACCGATTGACCGCATGTTATTGTGTTCACCTTCATAACTTCTCACGGCATTACGATGACAGGGACATTGATGGGCCGAGTCGTTAGGCAAATGTGTTAGTCGTTACTAGCTAGCAATTCATCTGATTCATATCTCATTTTCTTATTATTTATGTATTATCTATAAACTTTTTTTTCAACGTTACAGGAAAAGTACTCCTAACTCTATTAATTAATTAATTAATTAATACATTTATTTATTTATTTGGTTTTATTTTTTGTCGTAGTTTATTAAGATGATGTAACTGATATTATTTCGTTAATTAGTTCGTTATTCAATTACTAGGTTGTTATTTCACATTTGTCCTTTAGTAAATATCTCCATAAGAGGGAATTCTGTTAAGCCTTCACGAGAAAGTATTATACAGAAGTAGGATCAGATGTTGCTAGCGTTAGTTGAGTATTCCAAGCAGACAGTCGCCAGTAGGAAACTTGCTGATTAATTTTTAACCACAATCGTTATTCGTTTTCTTCATTTGAGATTTATATTATGAATATAGCTTGCATTAGTGGGTTGGCAGAGTGACATTATTCTTTAATCGTTTCCTAAATAGTTTGATAACCAAATAATTGCGGGCAAACCAACCCATATGGAAGGAGAGTTGTACGTAAAGTATTTGTTGACAATTTGATGAATTGCTGACAGGTTGACTGGGTCACATTGTCATGAGAGCGAACGATAAGACATGCATTGCATTGTTTGACGAGTTTTTGGTACGTTGAAGTGCTGTCTTTTTTGTATATCACTGTACTACGTGATGTGATTGGAAATCGATATGCACTATACATTTTTGTATATATATATTTATATATATATATACGCATACAAGTTTATTTAATTTTGTATGTATGTGTAGTGTGTATGAATGTATATGTATGTATATTTCTACCATATGCTTTCTTTTCAGTACATTATCACATTTTAAATAATAATTTTCATCTAATTATGAATATTTGTGTAAATAAAAGATCTTTTCATTGTTATTTTAATATTACAGATGATAGTTTCAACTTTTACAATTGGTTTAGTTGGTTATTTTTGTTCGAATGCGTCATTTGTTTGTTGGATTAAAAATAAAGTATTTATTAAACATTTTTGCGTTCGTTTGAACTTTAAAGAAATGTGATACGTCCTACCTCGGGGAACTGGGTCTCTGGACGCTAAACGAAGATTGATTGATTGATTTTAAGAATGTGACATTCGTGCAAAAAAATCGTTATTGTGTTTAAAATTTTTTGATCATTTTGAGCATAATAATTTTATTTTTTATAAAACGCAATAAAATCTAGTAAGTTGAATCGAAATTGGGTGGAACGCATTTCAAATTAAACAAAGTAAAAATTTAATTACAAGCTCAACTGATTATTATTTTTTTTATTAAAATGCTGCTTTTAAGGCTGGTCACAAAGTTAGCTCAGTCAGTAAAAGTCCCTTGTCTCGCGCTATTATTACACGATGGCATGGATCGAATACTGCCTGTCCAAAACTCAGACTATCGTGAGTGTATGAGTACGTGTATGATGCGATGTGATTCGTATAGTGTAGATAGTGTACAGTCTTTGTGGCATTAAAGATTAATTACAAGTACAGAATAAAATGTAAGCAGTTCTGCGTTTAACAGAGCTATTATACCGTCGTCCAACCACACACTTAGAATAATCAACTGAAAATGAACGGAATCTGCAAGCCTGTGAAACTCCTTCTCTTATATACTAGCAGGTCTTTCTGTAAATGCAAATTTCAACTGTTTCAGCCAATACACGTTCGTTTAAAAGTTGTTGCGGGCATTAACGGGGAAGTTTTTAGAGAGCGTCTAAAACATTTGTTCAGCGGGACAGTACAGTTAGCGCCTTATCGCCTATAGACAAAACAACCGTGCTCTACAAATGAACATGCACACATACACAACTGGAAAGTTTATATGTAATTGCAATCAACCAAATAGAAACAAAGTTAAAAAATCAAAGCTGTTATTTTGTAAGGTTTGCATCTTTGTAAAGCATTCTCTTCATATCCAACAACTGTCCTTTATTGACTGAGGATGTAATTGGTTTACTAAAAGAACCTCCTGTTTTCACTTCTTTTTCAGTTTTGTCGGTTTTAGGCAACTTGTGAGGAACCGTTTCATGTTTAATTCTTGGTTGCCTCATATGAATGTATTTTTTTGAGCTGTTCAACATCCAATCAGGACTGAACATGTTTTTTACGTTATCATCAGCCTCATCTACAGTGGTTTAATTTTGATTCATAATAATATAATTTATTTTCATAGTACCAATCCAGTTAATCAATAAATTCATGCAACGAATTAAGTCGCTTAAAAATAAAACAATGTATATAAACAGTAGATCAATACTATGAAATTGCAAGCATTACAGGTTTTTTATTTACAATGTGTTTTACTAATTTCGCGACACTTAAAATTAGAAAGAAAGCTCAAAAAAAAAAGGTTTAGGGTATTTTTAAATTTTTCAACCAACTGTCTCGTCTCTATACATAGCAACCTATTGGTAAATCGAATGTGCACTTGTTTATTTTTGCTTTGCACTCAATTATTTCTCTTCATTTCAGGCAACATTTTATGATCTAGCGGCTTATTGCAAATCTACATGGCAGCGTGAATGGACAAAACAATTCTAACGTTTTTAATCTTACCTGCTTTCTTGTTCTCTTTATAAAACGGATTATACTAACCTTGTAACGTCCTGATAGTTAATCTCTCAAGCTTTGTATTCCAAGTTTTTAGCTACAGCAACCTCATTTTTTCAAATTCAAGTATTCATCACATCTAAAAAAATCTTTTGGTAGTAGTAAGATAGCAATTTATTTTGAATCGTTTTTAGAATCTGAGGAACTGCTTGTCCTTTTCCCCTCACATACCTTTTGAATTAAGAACCCTTGTCCTTGGTAGTAATTTTTGTACTCAGTACTTTTTTGCTTCCTTTATTATTTAGACCCAAGAACTATGCTCAACTTTTTCAACATCCTTAAAATTGTAGCTAAGCTAATTTGCAACTTTGTTTAAATTCAAAATTAGCATTCTATGTTCTTTATCTAAACATTTATTTCTTTACCTATTAAAAACAAAAATTTTCACAACGGGCGAAAACGCTAATTAATTATAAAAAAATACTTATAAAAATTGCAACATTCTGTCATTTGTTTATCACCATTTATAGAACGCTTTTTAAAAAATTTTCCAACGCAGGCATTACTTTTGGCCTGGCATTACTTTTGTTAATTTCTGTTGAACGTCCATTTTCTAACATACATGCGTAGGTTCTCAGACCATCAACTATCTCTGATGACCGCGTCTGAAAAATTAGCATAAAAACAGTCGAAGCCATATGAACAGCTGCTGATAGTGGTTGGATTAATTTATTTTTAGCAGGATAGCAAGATAGAACCTCAACATTAATCGATTTCAAACTGACTGATTATGTTTGCCGTAACATCTTACAATATTGTTGACGAGAAACATATTTGTGCGTAGGAACATTAAAGTTGCAATAATTTTTTGAGATTATTCACTTAACTCACTGTAAAAATTTTTCATTAAAAAAATGTCTACGTCATTTTTATTTAAATGACTAGAAAAAAAAATTATTTAACTAAGTGAATCATTTTAAAAAATAATAAAAAATTAAGTATTTACTATGATATCAGTAAAAATATTTATAGTATCTAAATAAGCAGGTCCAACCACAATTATTACCTTTGGCTTTAGTATCATTAAATATGTTATTTTCTTCATCTTCATCCAACATCTGCCATATTTCGTCCAGAAAATCATGAGCCTCACTTTCATTCATTGATCTGAGAGGAGGATTGTTTCCTACCGACTGGTCTGTTTGTTGCAATTAGTAAATTTATAACGGTCTTATATTTCAAGACATAAAGTGCAGTCGCGTTCTTCGATGAACTTCTTAAACAAGTAACACCAAGAAATGGCGCGCGCGCGCATGAATGATGGAGACATTGATTCTCAATAAAAGATTATTTAAACTAGATAGAAAAACCACGTGACTCAGCACACCTTCAAGTAATCACGTAATGCATCGCTTATTTACACATACGCAGCTGTAAACTATTCTAACTATACGAAACTCCGAAGAGTAATATCAAAAACGCCATAAAAACAACGATCCAGGTAAAAAATGCAATTACTTGAATTTTTCACAGAACTTTCATCCTCCACCAAACTGTTCTCGTCGTTCTGGAAGTTTTTTTTTAATTGAAATACGCATGCAACAAATAACGATAACAAATTTTATAATAATTTTACACCGAAAACAGTAAAAATAGTAAGTTTAATCATTCTAGAACATCTCTGATTGTATTTACCCTGTTTAAAACAGAAAATTTTAAACTCAATGTAAAATATTAAACTATCTTACTATTATTTTTCTGTCTGAAAGTTCTGATGAAACTTTAACGTTCATATTGCTTTCAGATTTTGAAGGAATCGTTCTCACGTTGCCAACAGAGGCTGATAATTCTCGATTTGTAAACATTATGGAAATATTTAATAATTTTATAAAAAAAATTCTGAATAAACTTACTTTTAATAATAAACTGCTGTTGGTTACTTAATTTCAGTAATTTATTTTTTTCACGAGACATCCGTTTCAGCAGCAAACCGGCAAAAGACAATTTTGATTTCAAATGATGAACCTTATTGATGAGCTTCAGTTGATCTTTGAACTGTGGTGAATCCAATGCACTCTGCTGCCTCAGCAAAAAAAACCGAAAGAGCATATATTATATAGCTATTACTTAAATTATAGTAATGAAAAACAATAATTACATATCATAAATTTTATTTGTTTATTTTTGTAACAAATTACTTTAACGGCTTTGATGAAATTTTCATCCACGACATTATTACTGTTGTTATAGTTAGACGGGAGGACACTGTTTGCTTGACTGTAAGGCTGCAACTGAGAAAGAATAGTTCGATGCAGAGTTTCAAGTACACTGTTCATTTCCTCAACTTCTTTCAGAGTAGCCTTTATTTATTATGAAAAAAAAAGTTAGCAGTTAAAGCGCCTGTTAGTTAAAATAACCGTAGATATAGACAGCTGGGTAGCGATGCAGCATTCTTTTTTCTGCTTTTTTCTACTTATAAGACTCAACTTATTTGTATTTATATTCATACAAACTTACGATGTCCATAAAAAGGTAAGTGAATACAAACAATAAATTCTACTACTTCTAAACTCATTCCGCCAATGATCATGTATTTACTTTATTAATAATTTCAAAAATTAAAGTAGAATAATAAAATTTTAAAATCTTACTTGATAATTTGGCGTCGTTGCATTAGTTCTGATGTTCCCAGGTTCAACAACTGAAAATTGACGTTATAAACAGTTATAATATAAAACATTAAAGATGATCACATAATATAATGAACCGAAAATTTGAAAAAAGAATTAGTTTATAAAGAAATCAGATTAGTGGCACAAGAGTTTTGCAAGCAGTCAATGAACTTATATAAAAATGAAACAAATGAAATTTTTCTGAAAAAAACAACCTTTAAATTCGCCAGTGCCATATGATGTTTTTTTAATACTTTGTAGTATTTTTTCAATATTTTGTTTAACCATTTGAATAAATTTTTTTAGATAACTGTTTTCTGTTTTTAAATCTTTATTTTCTTGCTTACAATTGCAAGTAACCAGCTTCCCATCAAAAAGTGAGTGTACAAACTTATAAAAATGAGCATGTTGATCAAATACACAATAATTCAATATAAACACAAGAAGCAATTTACTTGTGATGAATGGTATTCTATCTGCAACTCCTCACATTTTTGTTTCAGCATTTCTATTTCAGCACATGCCTGAAAACAAAGTTTACAATTAAGTTTTTGAAATTGATGAATGAAATAAATGAAACAAATATTGTACATCATTTCTTGATAGCAGCAAATTCTTAACAAGTTTGTCATATTCATTGTATTGGTTCTGCTTGAAATCTTCAATTTTCTTTCTGTAATCAATCTCTAATTTTCTTATATTTGCTTTCATGCACTGTTCATTTGTCAATAGCAAGTTTATTTCATCCCTCAACCTGATTGAACAAACATTTTTAGATAAGAAAATGTAGGTGAATGCCAAACTAATGTGTTTTAATGAGTTACAAATTTTATTCAAATCTATAATTTGTATTTACAATCAGCAAATTACAACTAATTTAGATTGACCATACACAATTTGCATCTCTCAATATAATTTTGCTACTCAATAATCTAGTTTTCTGTTTGTGATGATGTTATTCTATAACAGTTTTAGTGCTCCCTTACTTATCATCAAGTCTTCCAATGGGTCTTCATAAAGTATTGCAACATCAAAAAGTGCTACTTTTTCCTATATAAATCTCATTACCACACATCTATTTTTCCATATCGTTTAAATAACTTATTCAATATTTCACATAAACATATATTAAATGTATGTATATGTATCATTAAAAAGCTTTTTGACAAAAGTTCACTTTTTAACATCTTTGCTTCTATCAATATTGAGTGTATTTATTAGCATGAGTAAATTTAATTGAGCTGAGGTTAAGTAAGTTAATATTATATTAATAGATAGACTTTTGAATAAATATTTGTTTAATTTTTCTATCAAATATAACCGAAAAAATTTATAATATAAATAAATTTTATACTGTAAAATTTGTCAATTAAATTAGAAATTGGATAATTAATTAAATTAACAATTTAAAACATTAATAAAAAATGATCCAACAGCCGAACAAAGGTGGTACAAAGCCTGTTAAAAACTATATATTATATATATAATATATATATACAGAGGCAGTACTAACAACTAACCGTACTATATACTATAAAACTATACTATACTTTACTTTACTATCTACTTACTACTAGTAACTACTAGACTTTTTTACACCTACCCACATGTTGACAAGAAGATTGCGAACAAAATTACCTTTCGTTTTCTTCGTGCATGATTCTTATTTGTTCTTCATAATTTTTGCTGCCCATTTTGAGTTTTCGAAAAGATGAAAAGTTAATTTTAAAATGCAAAACTTTGCTTTGCCGATATCCATGACAACAAACTATAACGAGAATTAGGTAATGTGCGTGTAATTAATAATTTTATAAAGTATAAAAATGTCATATATATATATATATATATATATATATATATATATATGTATATATATATATATATATATATATATATGTTGGCAATAAACCATAATTTTTACAATATTCAATAAATTCTACCGAGTGTTTGGCGTTAATATGTTTGTAGTTCGTTTTTCGATTTTTCTCACTAAAGTTTTTTGGTGAACGTTTAGTTTATTAAAATTCAAAATAAACTTATTTTTCGAATTCATGCTGCAAATAAGGCCATATTTCGATTCCGAATGAATCATCATCAGTGCTCCTTACTATAAGGAAATATTGACTTTGTCAAGATGAACTTTGACGTTGTAAAAATTAACTTTGGTGTTGTAAAATTGAACTTTGATGCGAATTAGGTGTCAGGTTTCTTTATTGGCTGGTCATCTTCTTTGGTCTTTTCTTCATCGATAGCATCATATTCTTCTTGTCACT